CCAAGAAGAGGTTTGAGGAAAGGTTCAAAACCGGGAAGAACAGGTGGTTTTTCACCAAACTCAGGTTCTAAAGAGATTTATCTGGTTTTGTTATGTTGTGGATTTATTCTGGATTCTCAAGTATTCGTACTTCGTTTTGTTTTTATAAACAGAGTAGTTTATTTGGACCTACCTTTTTCAATGAACGTACTCTAATCGTTTGGATGAGAAATTTTCAGCGTTTGTAAAGCTACTGTTGAATCAGTTATTCTTATATGTCAAATTAATTTAGTTCAAGGGTCTAGCTTCTTTGGTAATTCTGCTCTCTCTCTTAATCTCGAGTTTCTATTCCATTTCTATCAGTTTGTCTACATTGTCATGATTTTCAGTTCGTGGTTTTCTATATTTTGTTCGTTATTGCCATGGATTTCTACTTAAGTTGATACTAGGATTGTATACGAGAGTAAAAAATCTGCAACTAGTTGGTAATAAGCCATGCACGATCGTGCAATGAATTACTTGAAAGGTTCCTCTCAATGATCTGTCCGATAATAGATCTATAACAATGTAGACAAGCTGATAGCAACAATGCAATGATCTTATTCCTTTTGTTGAGCTGCTTGCTGAATTTCCACTTTTTTGTTCATGGAATTATCCGATGGGACTCTTCTGAAATTTCAATTACTTGTTTTCTTGGCCGTTTTAGAGGTTGTTTTAGAATCTACTTTCTTTTATTTTTACGAAGAACTTCAATATAAATTTGGTTTTATAAACGATGTTCTTTACCTATGTTTTGGGATTTGGGTTGGGAGGGTATGGAAATCAGAAACTTGTATGGGGTGCTACACATGAAAAAAATGCAAACGTTGCTTATGGCTTATGGTAGGTACGAATAAATTGTTTTGGATTGATGAGCACCGTTATGAAAAATCATGAACCTATCATTCGAAAGTAGGATCCACGTAAAAAAGTGGATTCTTGTGTCACTAACTATATATCCCGCCTCTTCCTTTCTTGTTCGCCAATCCTCACCTTCTGTTGTTACGAAGTACGATAGGTGGTTGGTGGTGATCAACCATGACAGTTTTGCCAATGTTGAGAAGTTTGAGCTTGACTACAATGCGATCTATAATATTAAAAAAACGATGCGACAGATAGGGTGGTGCACTTGAACACAATGAACTAGTTGTAACCTTCATTATCAATCTCGTCAAGTCGATACCAATGCTAGATGGGAAGAGGACAAAGATTAGAAGTAAAAATAGACCAACAATGAGAAATAGAAGTAAGAATAGAATAATAGTACTCTTTTGAGGATAACTACAATGCTAAGAAACCTCATTTCTTACACACACAAAAGAATGGTAAATCGAGTAGAATCTTGCTCTAAACTAGTAATCATAGAAGATTACATACCGAACATCTAAACTAACACAAGTCTCTAAGCAAGTGTGGAGAATTTATCAATAGAGGTTGAAATGGAAACTTAACCGAACATCTAAATTAAAACAATTATTTAAGTTTGAGGCTTAACTTGATGAATTGAAAGTTTACGTTTAAAATGTCAACTCGACATTGAAAGTTTATGTTTAAATTGTCAACTTGTCGAGTTTAAGATTTAAATCGAAGAAATGGAATGTTTAGAGTTAAATTTGACAGTTGGCCAATTTAGGATAAAAAGTGAAATATTTCCAATTAAAAAAGCTCAAATAATATGATTTTTTTTTAAAAAAAAAAGATTTATGGTTTAGAGAGACGGCCGACGAAGCGACACTCTAATACTCGGCCCAGTTCAGTACACAAAAGCCCATTTGAGAAGGGCCCAATTAGAAAGGAGAAGCCCAATTTCACTAGAAAACCCTAAAAACTATATTTTTGGGGAAACATAAATTCACTCTTCGTCAGTTGGAGGCGACGAGAAGGGAGTAAGGAGAAGGGGAAGCAAAACACAGAGGGGAGGAGAAATCGACAATGGTGAAGTTCCTCAAGCAGAACAAAGCTGTGATCGTCCTTCAAGGTCGTTACGCCGGCCGAAAAGCGGTCATCATTCGCGCGTTCGACGATGGAACGCGGGATCGGGCTTATGGCCACTGCTTGGTTGCCGGAATAAAAAAGTATCCTGCCAAGGTCATCCGCAAGGACTCCTCCAAGAAGACCGCTAAGAAATCCCGAGTCAAGGCCTTCATCAAGCTAGTCAATTACAGGCACCTGATGCCCACCAGGTACACTCTTGATGTCGATCTTAAAGACGTCGTCACTATCGATTCATTGCAATCCAAGGACAAGAAGGTCACCGCCGCTAAGGAGACCAAGAAGAGGTTCGAGGAGAGGTTTAAGACCGGAAAGAATAGGTGGTTTTTCACCAAGCTCAGGTTCTGAAGCCTGCTCAGTTATGTGTTTGTTCTGGATAATTCTCGTATTAGGTTACTGAGCAGCTTTATTATTGTTTTTTCCCTTCTGTTCTCGAATGATCTTACGTCCTACATTACATTGTTAGCTTGTTTTAGTGTTCACTTTTTCTGTCGATGTACTCTGATCGCTTCGACGACAAATTTTCTTGGTTATAATGCTACATTTTAGACTTGCACCTGCTTATCCGAGTATATTTTTGCCTTATGTGTCAGTTTTGCGATCTGAATATGGAGTTGTTTGCATTGGTTTTAATATGTTTCTAAGCTTTTAATCTTCTTTAGAAGTAGATATTGATTCACTCTGAGCATTCACTTTTGTAACCAATAGATAAGTCTAACATAAATCATCTGGAGATAAACCGTAGAAGTTGTTGTTAACAATTAGTGTTCTTAGTCAGCTTGAGACGATCTAGAAATTACATTTCCATCTGTTGAACTTATAATTAATGGCTGAAGCCCTTGCATAGCTGCGCATATTCGTATGGCTATTTTAGGATGTTTGATGATGGTAATATTTACGCGTAAGTTCTTCAATGAACATTGTATTGTATTTCAAGAACATTTTTAGGGGTATATTAGGTTGTTTCTGAGATTATTGATTTAAGCATAACAAAAAACCAATGCTTAAGAATGCACCTCTTTTGTAATCTTCCTGATCCCTTGGATAAAACTATTTTAACAGCCGATGATTATTGGTCAAACTGGTTGAATCAACTTTTTTTGATTGCTTTTCTATGTATATGATTTTGGTGGTCGCTCTTTATGCGATGAGATAGGCCGTTTCTGATGCTTACTTGCTGGCCTATCTGTTTAATTATAGTTGAGCTTTGTTTCGTTGTGCTTACTTGCTGGCCTATCTGTTTAATTATAGTTGAGCTTCGTTTCGTTGTGCTTACTTGCTGGCCTATCTGTTTAATTATAGTTGAGCTTCGTTTCGTTGTGCTTACTTGCTGGCCTATCTGTTCAAAATTATAGTTGAGCTTTGTTTCGTGATGCTTACTTGCTGGCCTATCTGTTTAATTATAGTTGAGCTTCGTTTCGTGATGCTTGTATATGCTCTTCTTTGGTTGATGGAACTTGGAAATTATACTACTAATATTGTTTTGTTGAAGCAACTTTGGATTGTTGGGAACTTGGAAGTTGAATTTTAACTCTACCTCAGTTTGATTTGAATGATTCAAAAATTGTTGAAAAGTGATCTCGGTTCCGAGTGGTGAAAAATAAACCGTCTTTCCTTCCTTTGTATTCTCTGACTATCAATTGAAAGTATGGTATAATTTATTAGTTTTGATTTTGAACATGTTAGATGTACAGATATTGGTTGTGTTGTTATTAGATGAATCCCACCTATCTCTCCTTGAGCACTTGTTCATATTCAATGCTCATTGTTAAGATTTATTAACACCACCTTGAGATCTTCCCTTCATATCATTGAATATCTAATTGGTAGCAAATTGGGTTATAATTTGATTGCAACCATGCATATGATGATTTCAACTTATGTATTAAGTTGTCTGAGCTCATCTTCTGGTTAATTTTCTGTTTGTCCATTACAGATTGATTGCTAATGTTCCTTTGCTATTTTGGTTGTGTATCATTTGCCTTGGCTTGCATCATTGATGCTATATTTTTTAAACTGAATATAACCAGTGAGGCGATTTAGTTGAGTTGATTAGGTGGTTTGTCTCATTCTTTGGGTTGTTTTTAGGATATTTTTTGAACCAAAATTAACTGTATGTATATTTTTTTTGGAAGTTTTAAGAATATTTTTAAGAGGAACTACAAAAGTTTAGAAATATTTTTATTAAATTATCCTTATATTTACTCGCTAAAATTGTCCACAATTGTATAAGTAAGAGAGTTATCATTTTATTTGTTAGAAAATAGTGCAAAATTAGAGGGATGGATAACAAGTTCCATATTCGCGGAGCTGGATGAGAAGAATTTCTCATGTTCGGTTCTATAATAGAGATGGAATTGAGAAATAACCATCAACTATAACTCGAAAAGAACCAGATTTTATAAACAGAGGAAGAATGAAAGGAAAGGAATATCTTATTGTAAACACCCTAGAGGAAGAAACACCCTAGAGGAAGAATGAAAGGAAAGGAATATCTTATCTAGGCAATCGTATATACTTTGGTAGATACGCTATTTAAGCACTTGAACCCACTTGGATCACATCTAGACAAATTGAAGTGGGACGAAGACAAACCCGTTACACTAAGACCAACAGAAACACGTATGGGTTCAAGAAAAGGATTCCCAAATATTGGGTAAAAACCTACATATATATGTCATAAAAATGCATGTGGAGAGGAGAGAGAATTTATTTAAATTTAAATTTTTTATTTTTACAAGTGGTAAATTTTTAATATTCATTTGGACAAGAAAAAAGAAAGCAAAAAAAATATTAAAAAAAAGATTTGACTTTTTTAAAGTTATCAAATCATTAACACAACTTTGAACAGAGTTAAACTTACAATTTATTAAGCTTTTTATAAAACACTTTTTAGTTAAAAAAAATTAAACAGCCTTAACATTCATGAAGAGTTTGACGCCTCATGATTAGGAAGCCTAGTTAAGTTGCTTAAACTAAAAGAGAGAGGATAAAAACCAAGTGGTTCCACTAGTAATGACTTGTGAAATACGCGCATTACAAAGAAAATACATACATCTCCAACTTTTGACCGATACAACTTAAATACACACTTCCAAAACTAAAGGTATCATCAATGGTATTTGCTTTCCCATGCTGGCTGGGGATGGAAAATAAAAATCGAATTCCCAAACCGACTAGAAAACCCTTAAATCTCAAAAGAAATTTGAAAAAATAAAAATAAAAAAACCAACTTTAAAGGCTTCAAAGAAAAAGATTGAAAAAAAAAATCGAAAACCACGAATATTTAATACCTTTTCCCCAGATATATACCAACTATAACAGAGATCAGAGCTACCGCCAAAACCAACTTCAAGGAAGAGATTGGAGAAACCTCAGCAATTTGGGTGTGTGTTTCGGCAGAAGATGAAGATGGTGTAGATGGCGATGATGCCTCTTTGTTCTTCTTGTGCTTCCTTTTTGTTGGAGTAGAAAAGGTTAATCCAATGTCTCGGGATTTGATTTCTACTCCCTCCTTCGGCTCCGCCATGCTGCTGCCTCCATCAGCCTGCAAGATAAGATAGTTCAACTAATAAGCATGAATGGCTGCATTCTTTATGTCGAGACCCATAATTCATAGGTTTACACAAACCTTCTCTACGGGCTTAGCTTCAGCCAGGAGCAATTTCTGCTGGAGGTCCTTGATTTGTGTTTCTAGAGCAATAATTTCTTTGCCCTTCGCTTCCAAATCTTCAAGAGACTGCTTAACCGAATCCTCTCGTTCGATCTCTTTTTGAGAATCTTTCTCTTTCTGTTGAAGACAACACTTGATTGTAACACCATGATGTTATAGACTTCATTTTCAGAGTAAAAAGAGATGGCATGGTGACTAACCTGTTCAGCGATCTCCGCCTTTAGTTGTACAACTTGTGCATTTAGTTGATCTCTATCTTGGATTTTTAGTCCATAATCTTCCAATTTGGAAATCAATTCTGTCTCTTTTCCTGCAGCGGCTGATCGGACACTTTCAACCTAATAAACAATCATTAAAGTTTCAGAACAAAATCTTTATCAAATGGGAAAATTGATGAAATCTTCACTTTGATGTACCTCATCTTCAAGCTCCTTTTGGCGTATTTTTAAACCATTATTCTCTGCTATCTCTGCCTTGAGATTTTCAATTTCAGATCTTAATGATTCTTCTACTTTGCTCTGTTCTTTCAATTTTCCTTCCAGCTTTAATATTTCTAACTGAAATTCGTTTTTGGTCTTCTGGTATGTTTCATTGAGGACGTCGTTGTCTTCCATAATTGAAGCGATCTATGAACATGAAAAAGAATTCATTAAACTGTCCGATAATAGCATTTTAATCGCACCAATTAGTTGAAAGGTAGAGTTTTTTGCAAACCTGAGACTGTAGCCTCTGTTCTTCAGAAGAGAGCTGCGATTTCAACTCATTTACAGTCTTCTCTGCAGCCTGGAGTCGTTCAGTAGTTTCATCCCTTTCAGCATTTGCGGCAGATAACTTGTTCTGGAGGTCATTCAAATTCGATTCGATTAAGGCCAGTTCTTGAGTAAGCTTCAATCTAACCTCATTTAGCCCTGCACTCTCCTGTTCAGCATCAACTTTCTTGGTTTGCAGCTCTTCTACCATGCTTTCTAGTTGTTTTACTTTCAAAAGACTCTCTTCTAGCTGAATCTTGTGAGATTCAGCTTCTGCAGAAGCTTCCAAAGTCTTGGATTCAAACAATTTTATCTCGTTCTCTGCTATTTTTAGTTTCCCACTCAATTCCTCAGCCTCCGAATTTCTCTGATCGAACTTTTGAATGGCTTCCTGCAATTTCTGATCTGTCTCGACTTGACGAGCTTCGGTTACAGACTGGAACTCGATGGCTCTCGAGTGCTTTTCGGTTAATTCAGCAATAGAGCTCTTATGAGAAGCGAGCTGCTGATAAGAAGTTTCCTTTTCAGAAAGTGCAGAGCTCAATAACTCCTGAAGTTCATTAAGCTTTGTTTTGAGTTGAATGTTTGTATCGACTAAGAGTTCGTTCTCGGAAGAAATCTGAGAAACTTTATTTTCAACTTCCAAACTATACTTTTTGAGTTCACCATTTGTACTCTCCAAAGAACTCAATTTTGTCAAAGTCTGTTCCAATTCTTCTTTTAAAGCTGCAGATCTTTCATTGGTTTCAGATATCTGATCCTCATAAGCTTTTATTTGTTCTTCAAGAACATTAATTTTCTCCACTAGAGAGTTAGCCTCAGATTCTTTGTTGGTGAACTTTGCTACTGCTTCCAGCATTTTAGTTTCTGAATCCTTGGCTAATGAGTCATGTAACAACTGAAGTTCCGTGTTTCTTGCAGTAGTTTCCTCTATTGATCGTAATTGGTGTTCGAGTTTCTCCTCCGCAGATTTCAGCTTTCCCAGCACCTCAGTCTCTCTGAATCCAGTAGCCTGGAGATCGTTCTCTATACTTTCGAGTCTCTTTTGGGTATCGTTCAGATCGTTCCTTAGAACTTCGACCAAACTTTCTGATTCAGCTAGCCTACTGCTAGATAAGTTCAGTGCATCTTCCAATTTTTTCTTCTCTTCTGTTGCTATATCCAGAGATTCATTTAATTCCTTTTCCTTTACGTTGGCAACATGCAATTTAGTCTCAAGGCTTGCTACTTTTTCTTCATAAGACTTTATTTCAGAAGCCAAGACAGATGCCTGGTCAAAGTTCTTCTTGGTTTCTGCTTCAGCTTCCCCACATTTCTTTTCTAAAGTATTTATTTGTTCTTCAAGCTCCTGAATTCTATACTTTTCTGTTTCAAGCAACAACTCCAACTCACTCGCCCTTTTATCTGCAACTTCAATTTTGTTATGAGATGTCAGGATCAGTTCTTCAAGTTCAATGCTACGGTGGTGATTCATGTTAGCTCGTTCCTCGTATTCAGAACATTTCCCGATTGTGGTTTTCAGCTCCTTCTCCAGTTCCTCGTGCTGCAACGTCGACTGCTGTATTGCAGATTCCAGTTGCAGTACCTTATCCTGGTATTCCTGCTTATGGTCATTCAGTTGCTGCTTTTCTTGCTCAATCTCGATCAACTTTGTACTAAGTTCTTTTATTTTCTCAGATAATTCAGTCGCTTCCCTCTCGACATCATCGTTTTTCAATTGTAACAAATTTAGCTGTTGTTCAAGCTCCACATTCTTTTGTTCGGCTGCTATAAATCGAGTCTCGAGTTCTCTCAATTGCGATTTTGCATCTTCTGATAAGGCAGTTGAAGATCGGACAATTTCCTCAAGTTCACGATTCTTCTGAGTGGCAGATTGAGCGACAATTCCAGTTTCATTATGGAGATCCTCTAAATTTCTCAACTTCTGTTCCAGCTCCTTATTGTTGGACAGAGCTTGAGATAAAAGAGAATCAGCTTTTCCAAAATTCTCATCAGAAAGCTTCAGTTTTTCCTCTAGACTGTTGCATAAATCTTTCATTTGTTTGGCATTGCTAGAGAGATCTGCTACATTCACTTCAAGCTCTTCTTTATCTTTGATAACTGCTGAAAGTTCCTTTTGGGTATCAGAGATTTGTGCTTCCAGAATTCTTAGAGCAGATTCAGCAGATTCTTTTTGGTTACTTTCTTCCTGAAGCTTCAATCTTATTTCTTCCAGTTCAGAAACCTTTACACGAAGATCCTCTTTAGCTGAAGCAAACTGGCTTTCAACGGCTGAGATATCTTCCTTGATCTTAGATTCTGAAGCTCTTCGTGCGTCCAGTTCTTGAGTTAGTTCTTCAACCAAACCTTCCTTCGTAGAAAGTTTCTTCTCCAAGTCTAGCACTTGAGATTTTGAAAGCTCTAGATCTCCCTGGACAGCAAAAAGCTCAGTTGCTGTAGTTCTAAGTTCTTCTTTTACCTTTTGGCTTTCAGCAATCTCGTCATTTAAGCCCTTGATTTTTTCTTGTAGGGAAGAGATTTGATCTTCTCTTTCTTTTGCACTCAGTCTTTCTGATTCAAGAAGCCTCTCAAATTCTAATGCTTTTTTAGCCTCAGATTCAGCATTCGAGCCACTTTGTTTGTGAAGCTCCTCAAATTTCAAAGTTTCGTCTCCAGAGATCTTCAGTTTTTGTTCCAACTCTTGAATCTGCTTGCGGGAATTCTCAAAATCATTTGTCAAACTATCAAATGCTTCTTTCACCGCTGTCAACTCCTTGTTCTTCGCTTCTTGAGCTTGCAGTGCCTCTTGCAAACTGTTGAGCTGCGAACTATATTTATCTTCAGATTCAACAATCTGCTCTTTCGATTTCTTGTGATCGAGTTCAAGCACTTCAAACTTCTTTTCAGTTGCCTCGAGCTTCTCCTTCGTGATTGATACCTCATCCTGTAGCCTTGAATTCTCTGACTCTAAATGCTTCAAACTTCCAGCTAATCTCTCAATTTCAAACTCAAGATCTCTTGACTTCTCTTGGGCCTCCAATAATTCTCTGCTTGAATTGCATGAACTTCTTTCAACAATAGTTGGTTTATCCTCCTCTGCGGATACTGTTTTGGCTGGATGAGTATCCTTCGCCTCCAGAGGCTCCTTTTCTACTTTTATGAACTCACCGCCCAGAGCATTGTCCTCCTCTTCGCTCTTAATATCTTTTCCTACTTGAGTTACATCCCCATTAGTGACCTGTCATAAGATTTGAGAAACCATGTATTTTTTAAATCAAGAACTTCTAAGTTTTGGTAATTGTAATTTTTGTACGACATTGGTAGACCTACTTAATTGTTTGCATTACATCAAGTTCAGATATGTACTAATCCAAGCTCATGATGCTACAACAATAAAAGGTTCTTTTGATAGAAAGGAAAGACAAAATCAAAGAAATTTGTACACATAACATGCCAGAATTAGGCAATATTTTCATCCATGCTAGAATTACGAGAGACGGTAAAGAAAAACCATTTCAACATAACATACACTTTGTCAACTGATTCATCACAAAAGAAACCAATAAAGATTGCATGCACGACCTTAGCAAATGCCCGAAATTGCAATTCTATTCCAAATACGTTTATATGCACATGCATGTGCTTGTGTTTGATTAGTTTGGGAAAACTGCAACAGAATGCTGCAGATATGAGACACGAATTACAATAAATGCCAATTTTCTTTATTTCTTTTAATACTTGGAAAGTTTTATGCTAGCAAACGTATCTGAAAAGTGAAAACTTGTCGACAAAATAATAATAATAATAATAATAATAATCTATCCAAAAGCAAAGAGATTCTTCAAGTGTCGGTGATTGATTCCAGATAGCCATCACAAAGGCATGAAAAACATGAATTAAATGGCGCTATGGATATCAAGAGGTGGAAATTCCAATCTCGAGCCTTTGTTCAATAAAACATGAAAGTGAACATGTTATGTAAATGCCTACACACACAGATAACCATTCTTGCTAAATTCTTTATCCTGCTTCAGTCATCAAGCTCAAACCACACTGAAAGCTATTAGAATAACTCAAGAGAACTGGCATGCCTTACCTTATCACCAATGGCATCATTTCCAGAATCGTCAGCCACCTTTGTAATTGGGACTTCCGAACTCTGAGGTGCGACTTCCATAGATGTACTATTCAGCTTTATCTATAATATCAAATTTGACAGGAAAAAGGGAAGGTCAACTTTAGTTCGCACATAAAGTTCTGTTTTCTTTTAAGTTTAGTATATTAACCGTTCGTTTCAAAAAAAATGGTAAAGAGTATTTTTTTTAATCTTTTCTTAAAGTTTAAAAGATTAATAAGACTTTTGAAATTTTAACATATTTTTTTAAACAAAACACAAAGTTGAGAAATATTTTCTATAATTTAGACTGTAATTTTACAGAGGAATAAAAATGATAATTTTTTTAATGTGTGTGTTCGTATATAGATAGCCTATTATTTTATCATGCCATTTCATAAAATTTTTGTAAGAATTTATTCTGTCACTTCAAAGGAAAGAAACAATACATGCTAGGAACAAAGATGAGAGTAAAAAAAAATGTTTAAATGCTAATAAATGCAAAGCAACAAAGTAGGGGTCATATTTTCTTTTCGTAAAGATATTTTTTAGAAATAATTTTCTCAAAAGATTCAAAACCATTCAACAGCTAAGAAAGAACTATAAACTACAATTGCCTAAAAAAAAAACCTATCAGCTAACAGTTGTATGATTTATTTATTTCTCTGGAGCAGTATAAATTATAAACCAAAAACAACTTCCAACCAAACTGGTGGGCCCCAGGAGCATTATTTTTTGTGTTAAACAAGCTTTCAATTAAAGTAGAAGCCAGGACCGTTGGTTGCGAATGGGACCCATTGGATTTACCACTTGCCATCAAATCAAACGAAGGAACGTTGTCCTCAGAATCACAGAAACCGGAATCAGCCTAAATATGGAGCAGATGAGATCAGACGGTGGGAAATGAACATTTGTTTTATAGAAGATAGCCGATTGCTGGTTTCCGATAGGCAACAGCAACACCACTATCAGCAAACGCGTTAGTCTCTCCCTCTGTTCGGACAGCTCAATCAAAGCCGTCCAAATCACTCACCTTTTTCCTCTATTTTTTCCATTTTTCTATTTATAGTTCTCTCGCCAAATTACGACTTGGTCCTTCTCTCCTTTTTGAAATTACATGACATTTCAAGCTTCGAGACCGAAAAAAGGCAAGGGTTTTGTCAAATGATATCATAACGGCATCTTATTTATTTACGGAGTCCACTACTTTATTTACCGACTGTAAAACATATTTAAAATTTTCCCAGCCCTTTAATTTAGTTAATTTACATTTTTTAGAAGAATTTAATTAATTAATTAATTAAACATTTCGATAGAAAATTAAGTAATGAATACTGGGGGGATTGAAATTGACATTTATCTGACAAGGTAATCCACGTCATCATGTTGAGGTTTTAACCCATGCCAGGTGTCTATGTGTCAGATATTTAATTTACATTATTCTTATGTATTAGCTTCTACCTAAAATTTTATGTGGTAAATCACACAGTGAAAAGCAGCGAAACAGAAGCTGGAGGGACGAAATTGGGCAAACGAACTCAATTTTCTTGATTTTTATTCTTGTAGAGATCTAAAAATGGAGGTGGAATTTTATTTCACAATAGATGGAAATTGAAAGATCAATTCAACTGTTTAGGAGGAATGATTCTCTTGATGTCACTGAATTTTTCCATACCGATGAATCAGAGAAAAAATCCCAATCTTAGGTTAAAGGTATCGAATCGATTATTTGGTGAAGAGTAAAGGCAAAAAGGAAATCTCAAATGATCAGAAATTCATCCTAAAGTTGACTTAACAGTCACTAAACACATCGATAATACCAAATTCTAAATTCAGAAAAGCCGAATCCAAGGAGAAATGAAGCAGGAACACATAATGATCAGAAGAAACCACGAGTTTCAGTATTGAAAACGAGATTGAATCAGATCAAATCGCAGTAAAAATCAGAAAACAAGCAGAGAATTAAAGAGAATCTGAAGACATCGACAGAAAGCCCTTTCAACATCTATAAATCGATTCACCACTACACAACAAGGAGATCGATGCACAGAATATAACAGAATAAACTCAAATCCAACACAACTTCACCGATCTTCAAATGAAAAAAGAAAAAAAAAAACAGAAGTAAAAAAAGAGAAGCGAGCGGAGGAGATTGAAGCAGATGCAGAAACTAACAGTGTAGCAAAGCCAGCAGAGAAGTCAAGCAAGACGAAACGCGTAAACAGGAAACCAACGATAAAAAGAGAGAGAGAGAAGGAGAGAAGGAAGTCCAGTTACCTGAAATCTTGGTCGGATGTTGCGTTTTCGATACGATTCACCGTGAAAAATGGGGGGACGGCGGAGGAGATGCTGATAAAGGAGGATGGTCAGAGAGAGAGAGAGAGAGAGAGAGAGAGAGAGAGAGAGAGAGAGAGGGAGAGTCTTTTTGTGAATGAGTTTTAGAATGGACTTGAATTATTAATAATATGTTTAATATAAATATTAATATAGGTTTTAAATTAACGATGTGGGACCCAGGAGGTGGGGTCCGTAACAGCAAAGAGAAAGGATTAGAGCAGCCGCGTTGGATGTTTCATCCTTTAACCCCTAAATTCGAGTTATATTACAACCGTACCACAGCTCACCCCTAATTTTGTATTTTATTTAAATTACCTTTTTAGCCCTCACTTTATTTACTTTCGTCTATGCTTTTTATTTAAAAAAATAATAATAATTGGTTGTTTTTTTGGACTCACTCCTTACTATATAAAATTTTGTAATTTTTCAATTAATGAATATTAAAATTTGCTAAATTAATTTTAGAAATTTAGAGAACAAATTAGATCAGTTTTTCAAAAAATGCATAATAATTTCATTTTAAAACTTTTTTTTTTTTTTTTTTGTCAACCATTCAATTTGATATCACGTCAAACAATTAAATTAATTTTTAAAAAATAATATGAATTTAATTAAATTAATTTTTTTTTTGTCAATCATTCACATAATAGTATGAATTTTAAAAAACATTTTAAACTAACATTTAAGGACATGTATCAAATGCAGGTGATAAAATATATATATATATATATATATATAATCATAGGTTAAAATTGTATCACATAGGTTGAATATTGAATTTAATAGATTAAAAATTGCGAAATAAATTTTTAATTTTTAATTTATTGTCTATTAAATCAATCACATATTTACCGTGGTTAAATAGATTCAAGCATTTGAAAATAATATCAAATATATTAAAAAAAATGATTTAAGTATTAAATAAAAAAATCATTCATTTATTAGATACAAAACAACAAATTTATAGAATTATTACAAAAAAAAAAAAAAAAAGAAATTAACACTTAAAATCTATTAAACAATTAAAAAAAAAAGAATATATATATATATTAAACGCAAATAATAATAATAATAATAATAAATAAATAAATTAGAGTAACATCCTCAAAGGTCTTTATTGTCTTGGTTTGATTTGTAAGCATTTGTCTCTTGCTCCAACGATGAAAACTTCTAAAGATGTCACGTGGAGTATTGATTTTTTTTTTTTGGTAAAATATTTTATTTAAATTTAATTTTTTAATTATTAGTTTTCAAGAAGGACATAATCACTCCTACGACTATATTATCTATTTGATTTGAATTAGTTACAACTTTAAAAATTAATTTTTAGGATTGAGTTACCGAAAATAAATATATAATTAAATATTTTGTAACTGTAATTTGAACAATATGGTATAAGTTCATAAATTCATAAATGTAATTTTTATTTACTCTAGCATCACAATTTCTTTCTACGATTTTATATATTTTAAAATTATTTTTTTTTTGGTTTCCATTTTTTTATATTTTCCTTTTTTAAAAGGAAAAAAATAAAGGGATAGGCTTTTTGGTCACAAATTGGCGGTCAGAAGCGTAGGCAAATTGGACCGACCAAACCGCCCATTGTAATGCGTGCTAACATGACGCCACGGTCCTTTCTTTCCCCCTGATATCGACCTCTGCAATTTCTTCTCACTTTTCACATTCCCACCCCTCTACTTTATTTATATTACATTTCTTCCCCCCACCACAATTTTTTTTAACCCTCTGTTATTTTCTAAATTGCTTTCACAACCCCGTCAATTCATCCAAATTTCGAGCTTTAACCTCAATTTTTTTAATAATTTTTAATTTATAACCTTAACTTGGATTACTCTAAAATCTAATAGAATGTGTAAATTTTCATAAATAACTAAAAAATAAAAAAAGAATGAACGAGTAAAAAGTTACTTAAATATAATAAAACTCGTTACCATTTATTCGATTATTGGACTTCAACAATTTGAAGTGAACGGAAAAAGATTTTTCCATGTTAGCTGTGTCAGAGAAACACAACTCTCCACAATCAGCATAAACTTGGTTTTGATTTAGGCTTCCCCAAAATGTCTTATACCAATGAAGTGAGTATTGCTTAATTATAAATTCATGATCATTTCTTAAATTAATCGGTGTAAAACTTTCATCATCCAACAAGCTAAACAGGTTAGTGTGTCTGTCTTTGCGTTCGTGCATATATATGTATGTATGTATGTATGTATATGTATTATTTATTTATTTATTTATTTATTTTCCTTACATGAATTAGGCATTTTTATAATTAATTAGTGGATATCCAATTAAGTAAGCAATTTTTTATAACGTAACGTTTTCTCACACCCAAACATCTCTTTCTACAATTAACAACTTTATTTTTCCTTAAAAAATTATATAGAAAAAATAAGAATAAAATAATAATAAATAGAAGGAAAATGGTGGGACTTGGTCACCTAAATAAAATTTATTTTTATTAGCTGTATGAATAAAACCATTAACACGAGAAGAAAATTAAATACAATTAAAGAATTAAAAACAAAGACATAATTTATACCTAATTAATTTATTGATTTATCTATACAAAATTTATTTATTTATTATTATTTTTTTTACTATAACGACTAAATCGTTATAGATTTTAAAAAACATAGATTAAATTATTATATACTAAAATTTACTCGTCTCAAAATCAAAATTGAATATTAATTTTATTGTCCGTGTACTATATTTATAAATATTTTTGTTTTAAAAGAAAAATAACATAAAAAGAAAAGAAAAAAGAAATTCAATTTTCAAGGAATTTGATTAAAGAATGTCTTGGGAAGTTTGACTTCAAATTGGTCATAATTAGCAATTACAAAGGCTGGGAGGGGTATTTATGGAAAATCAGGTCAAATTAATACGCTACTTTTTCAATTTCTTTTATACCATCTTGGCGTCTTTGAAAATTATTTTACGTAAAAAGGGCTTAAGACTCGATTTTCACCAAAGTAAAAATAAAAAATAAAAAATAAAAAATGTTTTTGAATCTCTGTAATATTTTACTATTACAATTCTACCCTCCAAAGAGTTTTTACTCGACTTTAGTAACTTTTATTTTTAAGTTCATTAAAAATATTGTTTTGAGTTTTTTTTTAATATAATTATCAAATTAAACTTAAATTTAGCCGACTAAATAAATTTAATTTTATTATTTATATATTTAATTAAATTATAGAATCATGGTATATAAATATAACTTTAGTTAATACGAGACAAAATAGATGTCGCTATCATATAGTTATATGTCTCAAATCTTAATCCAAATAATTCTTATAAGATTTTTGTGAACAAAAGTTTATTTTTGGATACTTTGTACTATAAATCATCAATTATTAACCAGATTAATATGTGTGAGACGTGCATGCCAAAAATGGTACAATATTATCAATTATAGAGATTAATAAATATAAAAAACAAAGACGTTGAAAATTATTATTATATTTTGACCCATATATTTTATTTCGACTCTTAAATTTTTTAAAATAAATAGATTTATTATTGTACATTGTGTTAGCTCTTTTAATTTTTCTAATATTTATTTGTAACATAATGTAATATTTTAAAAATACGGTAACAACATTAAAAAAAAAAAAAAAAAAATACTAAAATGTAGTGGGTCAGTGCTGAATAATAATAATGTATTTAAAAAGGGGGGGAAAAGTCAGCCTTTGACAGTTGACTGCCAGTGTGTACAAATGGGTATCCACGTCGGCAGTCTAACGAAACTGGTCCAATGGGTTGTGCGGCATGCGGTGGACGTGGTCAAGTGGAGGTTGACACGTGGAAATTTTCTAGATGCCAAGTGGAAGGAAGAGTCAACTTGGTATGAATACTTGAAGCAAGTTGTTTGAACTTTTAAATTTGACCGTTGATTGAAATTTTCATTGATTTATAGAATTAATCGTAACATTATGATATTAATTTAAAAGAAATTGAAAATGGTGTTAAAAAAATAAAAAACAAAAATTGAATTTAAATCTAAACATGAAAATTGTACAAAAATCCAAACTAAAATATTTAAATAGAATTAAAATAAAAATAAAATAATTTTATAATTTAATTAAATTATAAAGTATGGAATAGGGGCTTTAGTGCTTGATGGGGCACACCACTTAACAAATTTCCTTCTAGTGAAGGAGTGGGTCATGGAGGAATGCAAAAGCTTGGGGAAGGCATAATTATTAAATATTTTTAAATTTGTTGGCAAATATTTTATTTATTTATTTATTTATTTATTTTGGATGTTCATCATATTACCAAAACTTTTAATAGGCACAAAAACAAACAAAATGTTTTGGTGTCTCTCTTCCCTTTTTGGTTTTGTTCTCTTTTCAATAATGGTTGTCAAGAATTTTTTATTTTATTTTATTTATTTATTTTAAATAAAATACATTTATTATTCAAAATATTATTGGTTTATTGGTTTGATATTTATTTTACAGCACATGTGATATGAATCCAAACAATCATGTTACTGGAGAATCGAGGAGTTTTATTTATGTAATAAAAGATTCAAGATATTTATGGTTTTATTTATTTTTAAAAGGTTTTAATATTTTTTATTTTTTTTAAGATTATAGTTATAAAATATAATTAAGATTATTATATAGTTGACTATATATAAAGGTAAATATAACCAAATTTCTCTATAATCTTATATAGTTTAGATTGCATGTCAAACTTTAATAAAAGGATGAACATTCGTGTCTAGCCAATAATTGAGTTTTTTTGTAATCTTATATAGCTTAGATTGCATGTTAAGAATCATTGAACCTTGACATGATCAATCTTATTCGTGAAACAATTTGAATCTCGAACAAGTGTTATTGTCTTGAGATATTAATTTTATATAGTTTAGATTGCATGTTTAGAATCATTTAAGTTTAATATGATCAGTCTTACTTGTAGAGTGATTCAAATTTTAAACAAAGATATTCGATCAACAAGATTGTCTCGACAGTGGTTTAGTTATAGTGATTTCTTTATCATAAATTAATTTGAAAGAATTTAGATACGTAATAGGGTTGAAGTAAAAGAAAAATGTGAATTTAATAAACCTCTTCATCACTTCTTGAAGAAACTTCGCCTGACATCAAGCATCGAATCTCCAATAACAGATTTCTTGAGGAAGAAAAGGGAGGGGGAAGGGATGGATCGCAGCAATGGCGGATTCAGTGCTGGGAATTGTTGCAGCTGCAGCCATCGCCTTCTACGCCGCAAGCTTATCAGAGCATCGAGAGGTACCATTCTTTCTTCTTTGTTTTCCTGTCATCTCGAGCCCTAGCTTTCGTCTTGCAGTCATATACAGACTGCTAATGCTTTCTATGCTTTTACTTTGAATGTCTGATTTCAATCTCTATTTGTTTTGGCATATGTTTGGTACTTTTTAGACCTATAATTATTGAACCAATTAATGGCTTTTAAATTGGGGGAATGTGAAGAAATCATTCAGAGATTTGGATGAACGGAGGATGAGAAAGGAGGGTTTAAGATGACTTCAAGATCACGAGAGAGTCGAGCAAGAAGGAAGGCTAAGAACTTAAAAGAACTTTTTATTCAACATTACCTTAAGAATCTAGCTGTTGAGTGACATTTCTCACAGCATCCAAGGTTTTTCTACATACTTTGGGGGGGTGTCTAGTGTTAAGATTGCAGACATATTACTCATGTAATAATACGCAAGCTGATCAACTTTTCGCCACCAATCAAGCATTTGGTGATCATGGAGAAGGATTTCTTTGTTCCATGAAAGTAGTCAGGATCTGGTACTTTCAGGCTGTTCGTTGTAACTATTTGCATCTACTTTTGAGCCTTCAATTCGTTCACTCTCTCTTCAGTAGCCTTCAGTGCCTCCCCATAAATGCTGATTAACTGGAAACAAAAACAGTGGATCAAATTCCAGCAGAAAATGTGTTTAAATTGAACCATAGTCTTATTGTTAGCTTTTAGGGATACCTCATCCACTTCTCGAGGGGAGATGATAAATGGTGGAGACATCATTATAGTATCCCCTGCAACACGTACTAGCATACCATTTTCCTGACATTCGGCTCCAAAATATGCACCAACTCCTGTTTATATCAGGCAGATAACAAGCTGTAAGCATAAGTATGACCCTACCGGATTAAGATGAAGATCCACCTAGTTCCTGGGGTTGTGATTTTAGGATTAAGCTGATAAAAAATTATTGAAGATTTAGGCTACTGTGCCTTGATTTAATTTGATCAAAATTCCCATTAAGTGGCATCGCTAACAATGGGAATTACATAAAACATACCCCATTCAGGAGGGAACGGATCATTTGGTGATTTATTGTCTGCAAACTCTGTGCTTAAGATCAAGCCAGTCCCCCGTATCTGCAAAATAATAGTGCTGAAGAACTGAAGATGCCCAGATTCGCAAGCCAAACTTAATTACGTGAGCAACCCTCTTACCTCTCCAACGATAGGGCTATCAGAGTAAGCTTTTAGGCCATCTTGAAATCTTGAGGAGATGCTATTTACTTGCTCCACTATATTCCTTTCCCTAGAACAAAAGAAAATGAACTTACCAATAAGTTGGTAATTTTTCATATATGCATTGCATCCTATATGTGAGTTTGTATCATAAAAATGTGCATTTATTCTCTTTTACTTAGAACCACTATTTCATCCTCGAACAAGGACACCAATTGAATCAAATAGAAAGTAGGTCCATCTTGATGACTTCCAGTTTTCTTGTATAAGAAAATTTTAGATCTTTGAAACGTTTGTCCACTTCTAAGGTTTCTTTGTCATTCTCAATAAAAAAGAAATAGAACTCAGAAAGCACAGGAGTAGGGGAACATACTTGTAGATTTTGAGTGTTTCAATTGCGACAGCACATGAGACTGGGTGTCCAGAATAAGTAAATCCATGAGCAAAGGAACCTGGAAGTAATATTATTAAACTAATAGGTAAGCTGCACTGAAGATTATTAACAGTGATTAAATAGGTAAGCTAGGTACAAGAATATACCAAGCTTGTTGCTTTGAGAGTGAATCACATCAGAGATTTCAGGGCTCACGAGAACAGCTCCAATAGCCATGTATCCCGAGGAAAGTGCCTACAGAATCCAGTCCACTATCAGGCTCAATAAAAACAATGAAAAGCCAAGACTAAACAAGATATCTACTAAAGTTGAATCTGTTCAAACTTCACCTTTGCAAGAGATACAAGGTCCGGTTTTATATTGTATTTATCGCATCCAAACATTGTCCCCAGTCTTCCAAAGGCACAGATTACCTATAAAAAATGTTGAAGACAGTTCCTGGTTTACATTGCAATTGGTGAAGAAAAAAATTGCAATTAGCAAGTACCTCGTCGGCAATGAAAAGTATATCATACTTCTTGAGCACAGGTTGGATCTGCAACATAAATAAGACATACTTCATTCTTCCCTTCATGTTCTCCTTATTTTTGTCATTAGAAAGTATTTACATCAATAATTAGAACATTAATAACAAAGGCAAGAAATTGAATCATGATTCATATGTAGACTGTTAGTTCATCTGTTGGTCCATCTCTAGTGCTAGACTTTGATGACTTTTAAATACTTAAATTGACTTGCACTGCGGATGTGAAGGCTTAGCATCGAAAGAGAGAACAGATTGGATATCTGTGACAAACAGTAAATAGTCGGATCTGTTTCACCATTTGAAGTTGTACCCTAAAGACGAGTCTGTTCTGGAAACAACAAAGAAACCTGGTGCGTCCTGATTCATTTGAATTTATTTGTTTTTTTAACCATTTTTTTGCTCCAAAGCTTTTGGATAATTCGCCTAATCTTGTCAACAAGATCATGACATAATATTGAAGGAGAAAACGACCATGATGGACCAACAACCTAAATTTTCAAAAAACCAGCTAACAACCTAAATTTTCAAAAAACCAGCCGTTGGCTTAGCATTCACGATTAGATAGTAAGGTTGGAGTTTATTCATGTAATTGCGTCAGTAAGCCAATCCTCATAGTTTAGGTTAATTTAAGAAATAATAATTAGACTTCTCCCTAAATATCTTTGCAGTTGAAGTTTTTCTTTCTTCGTTCTTTTTTGTATTTTATTTCTTTATTATTATTAATCAAAGTACTAGTTTATACAATCCTAATTTTGCTATCTGTAATTTTACTATCTCACCTATGCTCCTTCAATATTATGTAATCATCTTATCTAGAAGGAAAGTTCAAACAACTAGCCAACTGAATATAAAAAGTGTAGAAAAGAAAAACGTAACACGAGAGCATAATTAGAAAAAGAAATAAAGAATAGGAAGCTAAACAAGGAAAGTCTTACTGTTGCATACTTCAAAATTTCATGATACAAACAACTTACCTTTTCAAAATAAGTAGCTGGTGGAGGAATCACACCACCAGCACCCATGACAGGTTCGGCGATGAACGCAGCAATCTGAAGTGGAAAACCGGACACGGAAGAAAGGGTCAATTATAGTTTCATGCCATATTCTAATTCAAAGTAGAGTATTCAAGTTTACTGTCTCTGGTCCCTCCTTGAGTATAAGGTCTTCCAAGTTTTTGGCTAATCTGGTTGAGAACTCTTCCTCTGTCTCACCTGACACAAGGATGTTTTCAAGTTAATGACTGAAAAAAAATCAAAGAAATTGAACTACTGTAAATTGAAGCATAGATCAGAACCTGGAAGATGGTAACGCCAGTAATGTGGACAATCAGTGTGCAGAACAAATGGAGCAGGAATGTCAAACTTCTGGTGCATAGCTGGAAGGCTGTGAAAAAATATATTCGAGTAACTATTTCTTTTAACAAGAGACATGAGGTATATTTTCTTTTCATTTAACTTACCCAGTAAGACTGGCTGATATTAATGTTGAACCATGATATCTGTTGGATAGAAGGGTGCCATGAAAAGAAAATTACTTGAACAGAACAGCAAAGGAAATTATACGAATGAACATTAGCCAAGTGATTTGAGCTTACGCCTTTGAGCGAGCTATGAACTTCTTCTTATCTGGTCTTCCAAGTGCATTGTTATAGTACCATACCAGTTTGACCTATTACATGTAATTAAGCACATTAAATGGTGCTCCAAATGAATTAATTGGTTGCCTTTGCTGCAAAGATTTTGTAATTTGAGCCCCCCTCAATATATTACTCTGTTTTCAAAGTTATATATATGAAGAAATTCTCATATCGATATTGTATCAGCCATAATATAAAGTTCTTGTCTGGAGTAGAAAGAACCTGAGTATCATTAGCTTCTGAACCACTGTTTGTAAAAAAGACTTTCCCCATTTTTCTAGCTGTGAACATTTCAAGCAGTTCCTTTGCCAGCTCCTATCATACATGAGCAACAAGAGAGTGAAAGTAATGAAAAGTGAGTTCTTTTTATCTAGAAGAGAGCAAAAGAAGTAAAGGTTACATAACGTACCAAAGAAGGCCTCGTAGTACGATTCCAAAAGGAGTGGTAAAATGGCAAGACATTTAGTTGTTTTGTTGCAGCTTCCACAAGTCGTGGTTCATTTCCCCCTACAAATTCCAGTCTTGCCTTTACTAACTTACTGAAACTAAACTTTTCAATATATGCAGAACAAGAGTTCGTGTTAGTGCAGATTGTGATACCCAAGGATGTGCACCATAGACCGGCAAGAGAATCAAGGTACTTCCTTCCATTAATGTCATATACATACGAACCCTATATCACCATGGAATTCAAATTCAAATTAGAGAGAACCAAAGAGAGAATGAACATATCTTCTCGTTCATGCTTATAACACACATGACAGATACCTCAGATCTTTCTATAATCAGTGGACTAACATCGGTGGTCTGCCATCCTGCAGTAAAAGGTGCAAGCATATCATGCCCCTTGAACCTGTAATTAAACCATGTTTGCGATCCATGAGAAACTCAATTGACTTTTAGTTCTGTTGTAGACGAAAGTGCAATCATTGTTATCACAAATCATGCTTGAATGATGGAAGGCATAAATAGTTAAAGTTTAACCCTTGTACCTCGAATCCTCTTTTTGTGCAGATGCCTCTGTACCATGTAAGCGGGACAGGAAAGGAGCGAGGACGACACGTTCCCATGATGCTTTTCTAAAAGAAGTGAATGCTTTTGTTAAGGTACCAAACTGCAAAGGGGGAAAAAAAAAGTCGTATGTTTTATAATCATACTTGCCTAATAAGCCACAAAAGAAGAGAGAAACATCATAATCGAACAGGAAATACTACCAATAAGCAGATTCTTAATTGGCATGGCTTAAACAAGGAGAAAAAACAAATTATGAAGTTCATAGAATTTATGTCTGTTAACAGTTCATACAGTAGCAATTCCTAGAATCTGGGAGCTGAAACAAATTCATAATCAACAAAATAATTATATTGGTTTCCAACAGTATTGTTCTAACAGGCATTTGATCTTGATTTCTGATAGGAACTCGGTAATCTGAAACAATGGACGAAGATCTTCTAATTATCAGAGATGGAAAAGTAAAGCTGCTCCATGAAAAATCAAGGAAACAAAAAGGGTGGTTGACATTTCCTCAAAGTTTTGGATCGAACAAGATTTGGGCGTTTGATTTGTAACCTGAGGCCTGAGAGTGGAATGAAGGAGGTGGTTGACGGCCATTGTTAGAGGGCCTCCGGAAGAATGCGAGCGAGGAATGGAGCTCAAGTGGCCGCAGAGAAAGAGATGAGAAAGACGAGGGAGGAAGGGGGCTGCCTCGTCTCATATAATACCGAGTGAATTTTACGACAAAGTTGGAAGAATCGAGCTTTCCCTTCAACCGTATCCTTAACTGATTTATGCGTTCGAATTTATTTATTTATTTTTTAACGGTTTGATCTTCCAAATTTGATTATATTCTTAATTTAGATTTTATAGTCAAAATCTTGTTTTATAATTTGATACATTTTTATGGTGGAGAATATTTATGATAATTTTATCAATTTATTTTAAAAAATTATAGGGATAAGTTTGTAATTTAATCTAAAGATAAAAACTTTAATAATTATAGTATTTCATAGAGTAAAATAAAGTTTTTTTTTTTTTCAGGGTGGTTTGTGCAATTTAACATGGACGGGGACGAGATAGGATAGGGTGGAAATAAAATATTATTGATTAAAAGAACAAAAGAAGATGTTAGATATTTAGTCAAGATCTTAACCCTTTTCAGAAGGGAAATCCGCAGAAACCTGGTCTGAAATCACTGAAGCATCGATTTCTTGAGAAGGGAGCAAGGAAGGAAGGGGAAAAGGGATGGATTGCAGCAAATGGGGGTTTCAATGTTGGGCGATGTTGCAGCTGCCCCCATCGCCGGGCTTCGAGAGGTACCTTCCTTTCTTCCTTCATTCATTCATTCATTCTTTTCCTGTCATCTCAAACCGTAGCTTTCGTCTTACACCCATACAGATTGCTAATGCTTTCAATCTATATTTGTTTTGGTATATGTTTGATTCTTTTTAGACCTAGAAATATAAATCCAATTCATGGCTTTTAAATCGGGGGAATGTGAAGAAATCATTTAGATATTTGGATGGATCAGAGGATGAGAAAGGAGGTTTTAAGATGACTTCAAGTTCTTGAGGAAGACGAGAGCACAAAAGAAAGCTAAAACAACTTTTATTGCAAGAAATGTTTCCGAAGAAGAGCGATTTTACTTTGAAATCCATATCAAGCTGCTGTTATTCAACATCCAAGGCTTTTTATAACTTAAAAGTTCAGAAACAGCTTGATATCTTAGACGAGATTTCAGGCATATCACTTATATCATAGACAAAAGCTGATTAACTATGCATTTGGCCACGACGGAGAAGGATTTATTTGTTCCTTTAGAGTAGACAGGATCCGGTTCCTTCAGGCCGTTTGTTGTAACCATATGCAGCTACTTCTGAGCCTTCAATTTCTTCACTCTCTCTTCAGTAGCCTTCAGTGCCTTCCCATAAATGTTGTCAGTAGCCTTCTGAGTCTAATTCGAAGGAGTATTCATGTTTACCGTCTCTGGCCCCTCCTTAAGTATAAGGTCCTCCAACCTTTTCGCTAATCTTGTTGAGAACTCTTCCTCTGTTTCACCTGACATAAGGATGCTCTTAAGTTAATGGCTGGAAAAAAAAAAAAAAAAGGCTCAAAGAATTTGAACAACTGTAAATGAAAGCATAGATCAGAACCTGGAAGATGGTAACGCCAGTAATGTGGACAATCCGTGTGCATAACAAACGGAGCTGGAATGTCAAACCCTTGGTGCCCACCTGTGATACTGGAAAAATATATTCGACTACTTATTTCTTTTAACAAGAGGCATGAGGTATATTTTCTTTTCATTTAGCTTACCCAGTAAGACTTGATGCTATTAATGTTGTACCATGAAAGCTGTTCGATAGAAGGGTGTAAGGAAAAGAAAATTAATCGAACAGAACAAAGGAAATGATGCAAATTAACATTAGTCAAGCGATTTGTGCTTACGCCTTTGACCGAGCTATGAACTTTTTCTTTTTTGGTCTTCCAAGTGCATTGTTATAGTACCATACCAGCTTGACCTATTACATGTTTTTTTAGCACAAAATGAAATAGTTGGTTGCATTTGTTTCAGAGCTATAAAAGGAGGCTTTCACAGCTAATAAACCTTGATGCTTTAGTCACATTGGTTTAATTGTTTTTTCTTTCTTTATTTGCCCATTTTAATCCTTTGGGAATCAGAATTAGATGCTTGAGTTTTGAGTAGAAAGAACCTGAGAATCATTGGCTTCTGAACCACTGTTAGTAAAAAAGACTTTTCCCATTTTTCTAGCGGTAAACATTTCAAGCAGTTCCTTTGCCAGATCCTGCCATATATATGAACAACAAGAGAGTGAAAGTAATGAAAAGTGAGTTCTTTTTATCTAAAAGAAAGCAAAAGAAGTTTATACCAACGCAGGCCTAGTAGTACGATTCCAATAGGAGTGATAAAATGGCAAGGTATTTAGTTGTTTTATTGCAGCTGCCACAAGTCGTGGTTCATTTCCCCCTACAAATTCCAACATTGCCTTTACTAACTTAACTACACCTTAATATATGTACAATAAAAGTTCGTGTTGATGCAGATTGTGGTACCTAAGGATGTGCACCATAGACCAGCAAGAGAATCAAGGTACTTCCTTCCATTAGTGTCATATACATATGAACCCTGTATCACCATGGAATCCAAATTCAAAGTAGAATGAAAAAACAATATCTTCTGTCTTATTATCCATTCGTTTAACACACAACACATGAAGGTTACCTCTGATCTTTTTATAACTAGTGGATTTTCATTTGTGCACTGCCATCTTGTAGTGAAAGGTGCAAGCATATCATGCCACTTAAACCTATGATGAAACCATATTTATGCTCAAACCATGTAGAAGAGTGCAGAGAAGGAACAAATAATTAGTTAAAGTTTAACTCAATGTACCCTGAATCCTCTCTTTGTGGTGAAGCCTGTGTACTTCGTAAACGGGACAGGAAGGGAGCTAGGATAACATATTCATGTGCGACAGACTATAACCAAGAAGTAGGATCATATCAAATGATAAACGATACGTAAGAAGAAGATGATGAATTAGGCATTTGATTTTGTTACCTGAGACCTGAGAGTAGAACGAAGAAGGTGATTGATGATGGCCATTATGGAATGGTCTCCTCAAGAATGTGTTCTCAGACTTCAAATGGTTGCACACACCCTCTCCTTTCTCCAAGTCTTCATAATAGTTGGAGCTCCTGAGATAGAGACTAGTTTTTAAGGATAATAACTCCAACCCTTAGTCCATGTTTTTTTTTAATTCACCACTACACTTACCCCACTTACCTTTATTAATTACTTAATACAGATTTATATTTATTATTTATTGTTGCATTAATGCATAATTATTCGTTAATGAATACTTAAGTATAAATTAGTTTGCACTCACATGTGTAGTCTTTAAGAGTTATGGCTAACAATATAGTTTAAATAATGTATTTTTATTTTTTATTTTTTTCCATGCTCTCTGCTTTATTATTCATCATTTTTAAAGAAAACAATAAACAATAATTATAAATGACAAACTCATTCAAAAAAAAAAAAAAAAACACATCTTGAATCCCCTAAATTTCTCTATCATTGGGAAGTTTATTTATATATACATATATAAATAAATGTTTCAATTTTATATCGTTGGGAAATAAAACTTTTTTAAGAAAAAATTATGATTACCTTTTTATTTTAAATGAACGATTTTTTTTTTTAAAAAAAATCATTTTTGGTTGATTTATTCCTAATAATAATAAAAAATGAATGGAAGAAAAATCTTCTAAAAATATTTATTAAAATTTAAGGAAATAGTTTTTATTTGGGTTATTAATTTTAAAACAAGTGTAAAAGGAAAACTTAAAAAAAAAAAAAAAAACTCTTTAATTTACGTTTTAAGGGAAATATATATTTTTTCTAAGAAACTAATTTTTTTTTTTTTAATTTGGAAATGGGAGTAATTTTTATTAATTTTAATTTTAAAATCATCTTAATAAATGGGTTTATTAATTTCAAAACAAGTGTTATTTTTCTAAAAAAGGGAAATGGAGTAATTTTTATTAAATGCAAGGTTTCATTATATGGAACAATTTGTATTTTATTGTTTTTTTTTATTTAAAGAATGTATCAAAATGAAATCTGGCATCCCAAGATTTTGACTTTTCAGACATCTCTAAAATTTTGACTTTTTTAAACCGTTGAAAAGTTTGATTATGGCACATTAATTTTTTTTAGTCAAGCTGATATTCAGTATAACTACATTACTAAATTCCCACTATACTTTTTTAAGACATACCTGTATTTCTCAGCAACTCATGCACATCATTGCCTCGACTGCTTCGTGTAAGCATCATTTGAAAAGAATTAAAGTAGTATGAATGAATATAAAAATACTTAGTAAATAGCTTGTTCGTAGTTTTTAATTCCATCTTAAGTTATGTGTCATTGGTTGGTTGGTTCGTTCTTTCTGTATCTTGTTCATATTAGGAGTTAGTTCCTAAGTTCTTCTTAGGTTATCCCCTATAAGTTTACTTAACTCATCTAAGTTCAAGTTATGGTCATGATGCGGTAATCATAAGTTCTCTTTCTTTATCTCTAATTGGGTTGTCGGTCCTCGTGATTTGTCTCTAGGGATCTAAAAGTTCTTGCTTAGGTGTTCTAACTAGTCCCTTTCACCACCACCATCATCAAAGACATCATTGTACTTATCAACTTAGACACCATTGTTATTATTATCATAGACATCATTGTACTTACCATCTTAGATATCATCGTTATTATTCTCGTAGACATCTCGACTTATCAAACCCTAGTCTCCAAATTATGGAGATTGAGTTCCTTCTTCCACGACCCCTTATTCCTTAATCAACCTCCGAACACCTCTTAAGCTCATCCGTCCTCACTCGAGCCACAAACTGTTGCTATGCTTGCTATGTGGGCAACGAAAATGGTACGCTAATGCTTTCCATCTCTATTGGTTTTGGTATATGTTTGATTCGTTTCAGACCTAGAATTATAAATCCAATTCATGGCTTTTAAATTGGGGGAATGTGAAGTGAATGGATCAAAATATGAGGCTGCTTTCATTCAACATCCAAGGCTTGTTATGTCTCACAAACATACCCTTTTAGTAAGACAAAAGCTTATTAACGAAGCATTTGGCCATCACGGGGAAGATCCGGTTCCTTCAGGCTGTTTCTTGTTACCATTTGCAGCTACCTCTGAGCCTTCAATTCCTTCACTCTCTCTTCAGTAGCCTTCAGTGCCTTTCCATAAATGCTGGTTATCTGAAAAGAAAAAAAAAAAAAAAACCCCATTGGATCAAATTCGAGCAAAGATGTAGAATTGGAACTCAATCAAAATCTTAGTAGCTTTCAGGGATACCTCATCAACTTCTTGAGGAGAGATGATAAATGGTGGAGCCATCGTTATATTATCCCCTGCAGCACGTACTATCAAACCATTTTTCCGACATTCAGATCCAAAATATGCACCAACTCCTGTTGATATCAGGCACATAACAAGCTGTAAGCATAAGCATGACCCTGGCAGATCAAGATCTACCTTATTACTGGATTTGTGATTTTGGGGTTAGGTTGATATAGAACAAGATATCCAAACTTGGCTCTGAGACCCTTTTCAAGATATAAGCCATTAAGATGCATCACTAACAATGGTAATTACATAAATCATACCCCATTCTTTAGGGAATGGATTATTTGGCGATTTATTGTCTACAAAATCTGTGCCTGACACCAAGCCAGTCCCCCTTATCTGCAAAATCATAGTTGCTGAAGAACTGAAGATGCCTTAGATTCACAAGTCAAACATAATTACTTGAGCAACTCTCTTTACCTCTCCAATGATAGGGCTATCAGAGAAAGCTTTTATGCCATCTTGAAACCTCGGGGAGATGCGATTTACTTGCTCCACAATATTCCTTTCCCTGAAATGAAATGAACTCACCAATAATATGGTAAGTAAACATATGTATTGCATTCTCTATTCTCTTTATACTTCAAATCGTGATTACATCCCCAAACAAGGACACTGATTGACAAAGTTACAGTTTTCTTGTACAAAAAAATGATGGATGTTTGAAGTGTTTGTCCATTTTAAGGTTTCTTTGTGATACTGAATGACAAAAAGTAGTGATCCATAAGCCCAGGTGTAGGAACGTACTTGTAGATCTTGAGTGTTTCAAGTGCAACAGCACATGCGGTTGGGTGTCCGGAATAAGTAAATCCATGAGCAAAGGAACCTGGAGGCAATATTATTGGACTTGAAGATTATAAACAGTCATGACCTAGTTTACTGTATAAGCATTATACCTAGCTTGTCACTTTGAGAGTGAATGACATCAGAGATTTCAGGGCTCACAAGAACAGCTCCAATCGGCATATATGCCGAGGAAAGTGCCTACAGAGTGCAGTACACTAACAAGCTCAATTAAAACAATGAAAAGCCTAAACTAAGCAAGATATTTGTTAAATTTGAATGTTTTCGAACTTCACCTTTGCAAGAGATACAAGGTCTGGTTTAATATTGTATTTATCGCATCCAAACATTGCCCCTAGTCTTCCAAAGGCGCAGATTACCTACAGAAATAAAAATTGAAGACAACTCCTGATTATATTAAAATCATTCTTGCAAGTAAGCAAAATGATGCAGGTAGAAATTGCAATTAGCAAAGTACCTCATCTGCAATAAAAAGTATATCATACTTCTTGAGCACAGCTTGGATCTGCAACATAAAGCAAAAAAAAAAAAAACATCATGGTGGCATAAAAAATATTGTTGTCCTCCAAGCTTTTGGTTTTAGTTCCCTTAATCCCTTCAGCACATTAAAACAGACTAAGTATAAAAGGAGAAAAATGGAAGAGCTTACCTTCTCAAAATAAGTTGTAGGTGGAAGGATCGCACCACCAGCCCCCATGACAGGTTCAGCGATGAATGCAGCAATCTGAAGTGGAAAATTAGACAAGGGTCAATTATGGTATCATGTCATATTCTAATTCAAAGGAGTATTCAAGTTTACCGTCTCTGGCCCCTCCTTAAGTATAAGGTCCTCCAAGTTTTTAGCTAATCTGGTTGAGAACTCTTCCTCCGTTTCACCTGACACAAGGATGTTCTTAAGTTAATGCCTGTAAAAAAAGAATCAAAGAAATTGAACCAACTGTATATGGAAGCATAGATCAGAACCTGGAAAATGGTAACGCCAGTAATGTGGACAATCAGTGTGCAGGGCGAATGGAGCTGGAATGTCAAACTGCTGGTGCATACCTGTTAGGCTGTGGAAAAATATATATTCGAGTAACGATTTCTTTTAACAGGACACCTGTGGTATCTTTTTATTTCATTTAACTTACCCAGTAAGGCTGGCTGCTATTAATGTTGAACCATGGTAGCTGTTGGATAGAAGAGTGTAAGGAAAAGAAAATTAATAGAACAGAACAACAAAGGAAATGATATAGATATTTGAACTTACGCCAGTGAGCGAGCAATGAACTTTTTCTTTTTTGGTCTTCCAAGTGCATTGTTATAGTACCATACCAGCTTGACCTATTACATGTTTTTAAGCACAAAATGAATTTATTGGTTGCATTTGTTATAAACCTTGATGTTTTAGTCACTTTAGTTTGTCAGTTTTTTCTCTTTATTTGCTCTGCTTATTCTCTTGGGAGTAGAAAAAACCTGAGTATCATTGGCTTCTGAACCGCTGTTTGTATAAAAGACTTTCCCCATTTTTCTAGCTGTGAACATTTCAATCAGTTCCTTTGCCAGATCCTGCCATATATGAAAAGTGAGTTCTTTTATCTAAATGAAACCAAAATAAGTTCAAGCTTGAATAGCATACCAATGAAGGCATGTTCGTATGGTTCCAAAAGGAGTGGTAAAACGGTAAGGTATTTAGTTGTTTTGTTGCAGCTGCTACAAGTCGTGGTTCGTTTCCCCCTACAAATTCCAACATTGTCTTTACTAATATAACAACCCAGATTCTCCGCTCTTTGGGCTTTCCCTTTCGGGCTTCCTCTCAAGGCTTTAAAACGCACTAGGGGAAGGTTTCCACACCCTTATAAATGGTAGTTTGTTCTCCTTCCCAACTAATGTGGGACATCACAACTAACTTAACTACACTTTAATATATACAGAACAAAAGTTCGTGTTGATGCACAGATTGTGGTACCTAAGGATGTGCACCATAGACCAGCCAGAGAATCAAGGTACTTCCTTCCATTAGTGTCATACACATATGAACCCTGTGTCACCATGGAATCCAAATTCAAAGTAGAATGAAAAAACAATATCTTCTGTCTTATTATCCCTTCGTTTAACACACAACACATGAAGGTTACCTCTGATCTTTCTATAACTAGTGGATTTTCATTTGTGCATTGCCATCTTGTAGTAAAAGGTGTAATGATATCATGTCCCTTAAACCTGTACTTGAAACATGTTTATGCTCAAACCATATAGAAGAGTGAGTGTAGAGAAGGAATAAACAGTTGAAGTTTAACCCAATGTATTTTGAATCCTCTGTTTGCACCGATGGCTGTGTTCCATATAAGCAGGACAGGAAGGGAGTCGGGACGACATATTCCGAAGCTCGTCTTGAAGATGCGACCGACTATAACCAAGAAACAGGTTCATATCAAACGATAAGAATAAGGGACAATAAGAACATGAAGAACATGAAGAAGAAAACGATGAATCGGGCGTTTGTTTGATTTTGTTACCCGAGACCGTAGAGCGGAACGGAGAAGGTGATTGATGATAGCCATTGTAGGATGTGCTCTCAAAGCTTCAAATGGCTGCACACACACACTCACAGAACATAAGAGCTGTGATATTTAACCACAAATTTGGAACTGACTTAGCTTGTTGTTCATCCTTCCTTTTTCTCCAATTCTTTATAATATTTTGAACGCATTAAAAATGTCTGTATTCATTATTTACTGTCGCATTAATAAATTAATTGGAACTCACATGACTGACACAATATAAGATTTTTAATATTTCATTTTTAAATGTTTTAAATTTAATTTGACATCTTAAAATAATTTTATCCAATGTAACATCTTGTATTTTTATTATATATTATATATTATTTATTATTTAAATAAACTTATTTCCCAATTCCAATATTTAATCTTTGAACGAATCTCAAAATATTGGCATCCAATATTGTTCCTTTTGGTGCGTTAAAAAATAAATTTAATTAATATATATAAAATGTTATTTTGAATATTTCGAATCACCTAAACCTTATCCTAATAATATATAATTACATTTTAAGACACATGGACATAATAATATATAATTCCATTTTAAGACACGTGGGCAGTAAAGTTGTCACGTGATGTATTGATTGTAGTGCTAGTTAATTAATTACTAATGATAGTAATTAATTAGTTAATTGAAATTAATTATTAGTAATTGATTGGGATTACTAGTTTATCGTTATCCAAAGTCATTTAGTTAGAGATTTTGTTATTAGAGAACCTTTGTCATCATGTTTTTGCAACTCCCCAAGTTGCTTAAGATAATTAATTAAGTTTAACTTACATTTAATTGGTATGAGAATAATGCCTTAAGGAGGACAATATTGGTATTATGGAAAAAAGTAAAGGGCAATATGGGTAGGTAAAGATTTTTTTTCTTTTAACTACTTTTGATACTCTTAACGGATATGTGCCACGTGTCACGTAGTCTTCGACAATCGTGCTATCCATTGACTGCATAAGATCACGAGCTTCATAGGACCTTAGGCAAAGTTCTTTCATCCTTAATCGAGTGTTTCCTTTTCTTCATTTGTGACTCTAGTTGGCTTAGACTCTCATTTGAGAGACTTGGGCTCGAAGTAAAAAATGACATAAAGGATATGGAGAACACAATTTGCAATGACGAACGACTAATTGATGATAAAGTAAAAATACAACATGACTGAGTTTATAAACACACATAAAATTTGAGAAATTTGAGACACAGATCTAGTTCGACCCACCTAAGCTCAACTTAGAGTCGTGATCTAGAAACCATATGTTCTTTTTCTTTAGCCCTAACTGAGTTATCAGTTCTCGTGGTTTGTCTTAGGATTCTTTGTTCTTATTTAGGTGTTTTACTAGTTTGTTTTTATCATCATTATCATCAAAGTCATCATTGTTGTCTGAGATCGGTTGGGGAGAAGAACAAAATATAATTTATAAACGTGTGGAAACCTCTCTCTAGAAGACGTATTTTAAAAATCTTGAGGGGAAACCCGAAAGGGAAAGTCCAAAGAAGACAATATTTATTAGTTGTAGGCTTGGGTCGATACAAATGTCATTATCATCATTAGCCTATGGCTAGTAGGCTCTTGAGACGCATCCTCGACATTCGTATCCAACCCATAGTTCTCATCATATCGTTATAGACAGTGTTCTCACATTTTCTAATAGTGTTTATTGGTATCCCCTCCCCTAATAGGCTCCATAACGTGAGCAACAATAAGGAAGTTGTGATTCTGAGTTAGTTGGCGAACTCTTAATCGTATAACAGAATTAAACATCTCATGAGTAAACATATTATCATAATGGACAAAGTAAGATGACCTAAACATGAATATCAAGTTATGTTTGAGTTTCGTTCAACTTTGGAGTTCGTTAGAAAAAACGAGCGTCCTAACCGTTTAGCATGGTTGTTATAAGTCAAATCAACTCGGTTCGTTCATAAACTTTAATAACATGCATTCAAACATACCACAAGTATAACTAAATCAAGGAAAAAGGTTTACCCAATGCTCGATCCACGGAATGAAAGCTTATTACGCGCGGCCGCTTCAGCGTAATCGCCTTCAAAGCGCGGGTTCAAAGCCAGCTTAATGCGTTTCCGTATAATTTTTCCTCCATTTTTCTACACGCGCGCTCCTCAATTCGACACTCGGCTGGCGCATTCTTGGAATGAAAGCTTATTACGCGCGGCCGCTTCAGCGTAATCGCCTTCAAAGCGCGGGTTCAAAGCCAGCTTAATGCGTTTCCGTATAATTTTTCCTCCATTCTGCTCAGCATCGTCTCTCCAATTTAGATTTCTTGAGAAAGCAAAAGGTAGAGGAAAATGGATGGATTGCAGTAAATGGGGGTTTCAGTGTTGGGCGATGTTGCAGCAGCAACCATCACCGGGCTTCGAGAGGTACGTTTCTTTCTTCCTTCTTTTCCTGTCATCTCAAACCCTAGCTTTCGTCTTACACCCATACAGACTGCTAATGCTTTCAATCTTTATTGGTTTTGGTATATATTTGATTCTTTTTAGACTTAGAATTATCAAACCAATTAAGGGCTTTTAAATCGGGGGAATGTGAAGAAATCATTCTGAGATTTGGATGGATCAGAGGATGAGAAAGGAGGGTTTAAGATGACTTCAAGTTCTCGAGGAAGGCGAGAGGACAACGGAAAGCTAAAAACTCAAACAACTTTTATTGCAAGAAGGATTTCCGAAAATGAGCAATTTTACTTTGAAATCCATATCAAGCTGATGTTCAGAAACAGCTTGATATCTTGGACACGATTTCAGGCATATCACTCATATCTTAGACAAAAGCTGATTAACTATTCATCACCATCAAGCATTTGGCCACCACGGAGAAGGATTTATTTGTTCCCTTAGTAGACAGGATCCGGTTCCTTCAGGCCGTTTGTTGTAACCACTTGCAGCTACCTCTGAGCCTTCAATTCCTTCACTCTCTCTTCTGTAGCCTTTAGTGCCTTTCCGTACATACTGATTAACTGGAAACAAAAAAACATTGGATCAAAGTCCAGCAAAAGATGTGGAATGGAAATTCAATCGTAATCTTATTAGCTTTCAGGGATACCTCATCAACTTCTTGAGGAGTGATGATAAGCGGCGGAGCCATCGTTATAGTATCCCCTCCAGGACGTACTACCAAACCATTTTTCCGACATTCAGCCACAAAATATGAACCAACTCCTGTTTATATCAGACACATAACAAGCTGTAAGCATAAGCATGACCCTGACAGTTCAAGATCTACCCCATTCCTGGATTTGTGATTCTGGGGTTAAGATAAGATACAATGTTTTTTTTCCGGCTAGGATTATTTGATCCAAATTAACAGATACTTTTTGTTTTCACGATAAGCCGTTAAGATGCATGACTAAGAATGGTAATTACATAAAACATACCCCATTCAGGAGGGAATGGGTCATTTGGTGATTTATTGTCTACCAAATCTGTGCCTGATATCAAGCCAGTCCCCCTTATCTGCAAAATCACAGTTGCTAAAGGACTGAACGTGCCTCAGATTCACAAGTTAAAACTTAATTACTTGAGTAACTCTCTTTACCTCTCCAATGATAGGGCTATCAGAGAAAGCTTTTATGCCATCTTGAAACCTCTGGGAGATGCGATTTACTTGCTCCACAATATTCCTTTCCCTGCAAAGGGATGAAATGAACTTACCAATAATGTGGTAAGTACACATATGTATTGCATTCTATACATGTGTTTCGATCATAACAATTACATATATTCTATTTATAGTTCAAATCGTGATTGCATCCCCAAACAAGGACACCGTTTGAATCTAATAGAAAGTGGGTAATCCACCTTGACAAACTTGCAGATTTCTTGTTCTGAAAAATGATGGATGTTTGAAATTTTTGTCCGCTTTTAAGGCTTCTTTGTTATTCTGAATGGTAAAAAGTAGAAATCCAAAAGCCCAGGTGTAGGAACGTACTTGTAAATCTTGAGTGTTTCAAGTGCAACAGCACATGCAGTTGGGTGTCCAGAATAAGTAAATCCATGAGAAAAGGAACCTATAAACAGTATTATTGAACACAAAGAACAGGTAAGTTTCTGGACTTGAAGATTACGGACAGTGATTAACTAGTTTATTGTATAAGCAATATACCTAGCTTGTTGCTTTGAGAGTGAATGACATCAGAGATTTCAGGGCTCAGGAGAACAGCTCCAATAGGCATATATGCCGAGGAAAGTGCCTAAAGAGTGCAGTACACTAACAGGCTCAATTAAAACAATGAAAAGCCTAAACTAAGCAAGATATTTGTTAAATTTGAATATGTTTGAACTTCACCTTTGCAAGAGATACAAGGTCTGGTTTAATATTGTATTTATCGCATCCAAACATTGTCCCTACTCTTCCAAAGGCACAGATTACCTATAGAAATAAAAATTGAAGACATCTCCTGATATAAATATTAAAATCATTCTTGTAAACAAGGCGAAATGATGAAGACAGAAATTTCAATGAGAAAAGTACCTCATCAGCAACAAAAAGTATATCATACTTGTTGAGCACAGCTTGGATCTGCAAGGTAAATAAAAATGATCATAGTTGCATCAATGGGAGAAATCTAAGGCCTTGAACAGTAGCCAAGATTGGAGAAGTTTGGGGAAAGACGTGTGAGAGTAAAGATGGCATGTCTGTGACAAACAGTTGGATGAGTTTGTTCCAGAAGCAACAAAGAAACCTGTTATAGAGTTCTACCATAGGTTCCGTGATCCATCTGTATTATATTTTTCTCATTTTTTTGTTCATACTCGAGCATCCAAAAATATTGTTGTCCTCCAAGCTTTTGGTTTTAATCCCCTTAATCTCTTCAGCACACTCATCATGGAAAATGTAAATTATGTAATCCTCTTATAGAACGAAAAATTAAAGCAAACTAAATATGAAAGGAGGAAAATAAAACAGAAAGAAGAGAACATAATTGGAAAAAGAAATAAAGAATAGACAACAAAATAAGGAAAGTCTTACTGTTGCCTACGCTTACTTTAAGCATTTCATGGTACAAACAGCTTACCTTCTCAAAATAAGTTGTAGGTGGGAGAATCACACCACCAGCTCCCATGACAGGTTCAGCGATGAACGCAGCAATCTGAAGTGGAAAATTAGACAAGGGAGAAAGATTCAATTATGGTATCATGTTATAGTCTAATTCGAAGGAGTATTCATGTTTACCGTCTCTGGCCCCTCCTTAAGTATAAGGTCCTCCAACCTTTTCGCTAATCTTGTTGAGAACTCTTCCTCTGTTTCACCTGACATAAGGATGCTCTTAAGTTAATGGCTGGAAAAAAAAAGGATCAAAGTATTTGAACCAACTGTATATGAAAGCATAGATCAGAACCTGGAAGATGGTAACGCCAGTAATGTGGACAATCAGTGTGCAGAACAAACGGAGCTGGAATGTCAAACCCTTGGTGCCCACCTGTGATACTGGAAAAATATATTCGACTACTTATTTCTTTTAACAAGAGGCATGAGGTATATTTTCTTTTCATTTAGCTTACCCAGTAAGACTTGATGCTATTAATGTTGTACCATGAAAGCTGTTCGATAGAAGGGTGTAAGGAAAAGAAAATTAATCGAACAGAACAAAGGAAATGATGCAAATTAACATTAGCCAAGCGATTTGCGCTTACGCCTTTGACCGAGCTATGAACTTTTTCTTTTTTGGTCTTCCAAGTGCATTGTTATAGTACCATACCAGCTTGACCTATTACATGTTTTTTTAGCACAAAATGAATTAGTTGGTTGCATTTGTTTCAGAGCTATAAAAGGAGGCTTTCACAGCTAATAAACCTTGATGCTTTAGTCACATTAGTTTAATTGTTTTTTCTTTCTTTATTTGCCCATTTTAATCCTTCGGGAATCAGAATTAGATGCTTGAGTTTTGAGTAGAAAGAACCTGAGAATCATTGGCTTCTGAACCACTGTTAGTAAAAAAGACTTTTCCCATTTTTCTAGCGGTAAACATTTCAAGCAGTTCCTTTGCCAGATCCTGCCATATATATGAACAACAAGAGAGTGAAAGTAATGAAAAGTGAGTTCTTTTTATCTAAAAGAAAGCAAAAGAAGTTTATACCAACGCAGGCCTAGTAGTACGATTCCAATAGGAATGATAAAATGGCAAGGTATTTAGTTGTTTTATTGCAGCTGCCACAAGTCGTGGTTCATTTCCCCCTACAAATTCCAACATTGTCTTTACTAACTTAACTACACCTTAATATATGTACAATAAAAGTTCGTGTTGATGCAGATTGTGGTACCTAAGGATGTGCACCATAGACCAGCAAGAGAATCAAGGTACTTCCTTCCATTAGTGTCATATACATATGAACCCTGTATCACCATGGAATCCATATTCAAAGTAGAATGAAAAAACAATATCTTCTGTCTTATTATCCATTCGTTTAACACACAACACATGAAGGTTACCTCTGATCTTTCTATAACTAGTGGATTTTCATTTGTGCACTGCCATCCTGTAGTGAAAGGTGCAAGCATATCATGCCCCTTAAACCTATGATTAAACCATGTTTATGCTCAAACCATGCAAAGAGTGCAGAGAAGGAATAATAATTAGTTAAAGGTTAACCCAATGTACCCTGTATCTTCTGCTTGTGTACTGTATAAGCTGGACATGATGATATATTTATGTGAAGCTCTTCTAGAAGCAGCAATGGACTATTACCAAGAAGCATTGGACAAATAATACGTAAGGGGCAGTAAGAAAATTAAGATGAAAATGATGAATTGGGCGTTTGATTTTGATACCTGAGACCTGAGAGTGGAACGAAGAAGGTGATTGACAATGAACATTGTGGGATGAACTCCCTCAAGAATGTGTTCTTAGAGCTTCAAATGGATATGCACACACATATGACTATAGAGTTGAAATTTAACCACAAATTTGTATTCGAATCAATATGCTGTTTCATCCTTCTCCTTTCTCCAATTCTTTATATTGTAGTTTAATCCATGGATTTATTCTTTACTGTTGTATTAATTCTTAAAATATTCATTAATTATACTTTAATATAAAATGATTCAATTTAAAAACGTTAGAAAATAAAACTTTTAAGAAAAATTCACTGGTACTTTTTATTTTAAAGGAACAAACTTTTTTATGACGTCACTTATGGTTGACTTTTTTTAATTAAAAGAAAAACTTTTATCTAATCAAATTTTTTTATTTGATTTGTTATTTATTATTTTTTTAAATGAGAATGGAATAAATTTTTATTAAAGGTAAGGTTTCATTATAAAGAAAGATTTTGTATTAAAACAATTTGTACTTTAATCTTGTATTCCAAGATTCTCAAAATAAAGTTTCTTTTTGGTGCTTCACAAAAAATTATTCACTTGGGAAAGCTTATCCTAAGTTTTTATTTCCTTTTAAAGAAAATGAGCGGAATAAATTGAGGTGTACCTTCAACTCGACAATCCGGACCAACTCAACCTAAATTGAGTTGTGTTGGGTTGGATTAGCTTTTGGGTTGGTTTGAGTTCATTTTTCTGAACCCGAACTGATTCGGTTTAGTTTTGGATTCATGGGATAAAATCTTCGAGTTGACTTGAGCCAAATAATAATATATAAAATATACTGAGAAATTTACATTAATGATAAGTTTGTTAGAGTGGTACTTTGTTTTAATTTAAAACGCTCACACTTGATTTCAACGTCAATCAAATACTTAAATTTTAGTTTTATGACGTTTCTTGATTGAATTTGTTACCAACCTAAAAATCTCCGAGCCAAAGCATGTACACCTCTAATGCACTTCATAAAAATAAAGTACGAAGAGATTTAGAAAATTCATCTCATGTCCCTCCTAGTTAAGGAGGACAATATAGATATATGCTAAAAAGTAAAGGGTATTATGGGTAGGTAGAGATTCTTTCTTTTAACTACTTTACGACTATGTGTTATTTATCATGTCGGTTTTAAGAATAACTCAAGTCCCACTATACATTAGCTGACTCAAGTCCCATTATACATTAGTCGAGGTTTTTTCATCCTTAACCAAGCTTCACTTCATGTTCAATGCAACTTTATTTAGTAATACATGCTGCTTGTATGTTTATTTTCTTTCATTTACGACTCTGGTTAACTTGCCTCTATTAAGCAAGTACCGAGGTTCAACCTTGTTTTTACTTTAGGCCAAGGTTTTGCAAACTCAACGACGCATCTCATTTCATCATCTTGATTCTATATGACACGACCCACATACTTCTACAATACTTCAATTTGTGCACCTTAGCTTCACAACCATCATCCACCTTTATCGGTGTGTTACATGATGCACCATTCTCATCGGTCACATCATGATACTTCTCTCTCTCTCTCTCACTCTCTCGATCCTTAACATGGTTCGATAGGTGTCACATGTCTCCACTACTGTAAGATACTACCTTGGTTGGGAAAGAGAACAAAACACCCTTTGTAAGGTCCCTAGTGACACAATCGCACTTTTGAAGGCAGTGGATTAACGATGGTGCGACACTCACTTTCCAACGACAAGTGAGCTAAGCCAATTTGTTCTTGCGTTGCCTACGACCAAGCGACGTATGATCGAGCCTCTAGCCTCGATTTTAAAAGAAGGTTTTAGAAAACGAGAGTAGAGAGAGATTTTTGAAAGAGACGTTATATAAGCAAGCAAGAGAGAGATAACAACAGCTTAGCATATATAACTTTGGGTAGGGAGAAGTTGACAACTACCCCTGGGCCCTGTGGTCTAAGTGAGCTACCCTGTGGCACATACGTGTGTCACAGTGTGGGCGAGCGTGCCGAGATGAGTGTTTCGGGCGACTTCATTTGAAATGGGTTTTTGAAAGACAGTACCGGACGGATAACTTTTTATTATCTTTATTATTATTATAATTGAATCGAAATTGATGTGTTGAAGGGGAAAAGGGATGGATTGCAGGAAATGGGGGTTTCAGTGTTGGGCGATGTTGCAGCGGCCGCCATCGCCGGGCTTCGAGAGGTACCTTCCTTCCTTCCTTCTTTTCCTGTCATCTCGAGACCTAGATTTCGTCTTATAGCCATACAGACTACTAATGCTTTCAATCTCTGTTTGTTTTGGTATATGTTTGATTCTTTTTAGACCTAGAATTATAAATCCGTTTTATGGCTTTTAAATTGGGGGAATGTGAAGAAATCATTCTGAGATTTGAATGGATCAAAATATCAAGCTGCTTTTATTCAACATCCATGGCTTTTTATAGCTCACAAAACATACCCTTTTTATTTAGACAAAAGCTGATTAACGAAGCATTTGGCCATCACGTAGTAGATAGGAGACAGGATCCGGTTCCTTCAGGTCTACCTCTGAGCCTTCAATTCCTTCACTCTCTCTTCTGTAGCAATTAGTGCCTTTCCGTAAATGCTGATTATCTGGAAACAAAAAACGTTGGATCAAAGATATAGAATTGGAACCCAATAAAAAGCTTATTTGCTTTGAGGGATACCTCATCAACTTCTTGAGGAGAGATGATTAAAGGTGGAGCCATCGTTATAGTATCCTCTCCAGCACGTAATATCAAACCATTTTTCCGACATTCAGCTCCAAAATATGCACCAACTCCTGTTTATATCAGGCACATAACAAGCTGTAAGCATAAGCATGACCCTGGCAGATCAAGATCTACCTCATTACTGGATTTGTAATTTTGGGGTTAGGTTGATCCAAAATTCTCAAGATTTACAAACTACGAAAGCACTTTTTGTTTTCAAGAAATTCAAACTTGTTTCTGAGGCCAAGCTGTTTTCAAGATATAAGCCATTAATATGCATCACTAACAATGGTAATTACATAAAACATACCCCATTCTGGAGGGAACGGATCATTTGGTGATTTATTGTCTACAAAATCTGTGCCTGACACCAAGCCAGTCCCTCTTATCTGCAAAATCATAGTTGCTGAAGAACTGAAGTTGCCTCAGATTCATAAGTAAATCTTAATTACTTGAGCAACTCTCTTTACCTCTCCAATGATAGGGCTATTAGAGAAAGCTTTTATGCCATCTTGAAACCTCGAGGAGATGCGATTTACTTGCTCCACAATATTCCTTTCCCTACAAAGGAATGAAAGGAACTTACCAATAATGTGGTAAGTACACATTTATTGCATTCTCTATGACAATTACGAGTATTCTCTTTATACTTCAAATCTTGATTGCATCCCCAAACAAGGACACTGATTGAATCAAATCGAGAGTAGGTCATCCACTTTTATCAAGTTGCAGTTTTCTTGTACCGAAAAATGATGGATATTTGAAATGTTTGTCCACTTACAAGGTTTCTTTTTCATCCTGAATGTCAAAAAGTAGTAATCCAGAAGCATAGGTATAGGAACGTACTTGTAGATCTTAAGTGTTTCAAGTGCAACAGCACATGCGGTTGGGTGTCCGGAATAAGTAAATCCATGAGAAAAGGAACCTGGAGGCAATATTATTTAACAAAAAGAATAGGTAAGGTATTGGACTTGAAGATTATTAACATTGATTAATTAGTTTATTATGTAAGCATTATACCTAGCTTGTCACTTTGAGAGTGAATGACATCAGAGATTTCAGGGCTCACAAGAACAGCTCCAATCGGCATATATGCCGAGGAAAGTGCCTACAGAGTGCAGTACACTAACAAGCTCAATTAAAACAATGAAAAGCCTAAACTAAGCAAGATATTTATTAAATTTGAATGTTTTCGAACTTCACCTTTGCAAGAGATACAAGGTCTGGTTTAATATTGTATTTATCGCATCCAAACATTGCCCCTAGTCTTCCAAAGGCACAGATTACCTATAGAAATAAAAATTGAAGACAACTCCTGATTATATTAAAATCATTCTTGCAAGTAAGGCGAAATGATGCAGGTAGAAATTGCAATTAGCAAAGTACCTCATCTGCAATAAAAAGTATATCATACTTCTTGAGCACAGCTTGGATCTGCGACATAAATAAAAAATGATCATAGTGGCACCAATGGGAGAATCTAAGGCCTTGATCAGCAGCCAACATTGTGGGAGCTGGGGGCAAGATGCGAGAGATCACAGATGGAATGTCTGTGACAAACAGTTGGATGAGTTTGTTCCAGAAACAACAAATAAACCTGTTATTGAGTTCTACAATGAAATTGGGTTCCGTGATGTATCTGTATATTCTTTTTAAAATCATTTTTTGCTCATAGTCATGAACATCCAAAAATATTGTTGTCCTCCAAGCTTTTGGTTTTAATTCCCTTTATCTCTTCAGCATGCAGAGGACCGAAGATGTAAATTATGTAATTGTCTTATATGGAATGAAAATTACAACAAACTAAATATAAAAGGAGAAAAATGAAAAAGAAATAAAGGATAAACTGCCAAACAAGGAAAGTCGTACTGCTGCGTACTCTCCCGGTAATCATTTCATGATACAAAGAACTTGCCTTCTCAAAATAAGTTGTAGGTGGAAGAATCGCACCACCAGCCCCCATGACAGGTTCAGCGATGAACGCTGCAATCTGAAGTGGAAAATTAGACAAGGGTTAATTATGGTATCATATCATATTCTAATTCAAAGGTGTATTCAAGTTTACTGTCTCTGGCCCCTCTTTGAGTATAAGTTCCTCCAAGTTTTTAGCTAATCTGGTTGAGAACTCTTCCTCTGTTTCACCTGACATAAGGATGTTCTTAAGTTAAACTAACGGCATATGAAAGCATAGATCAATGAAATTAAACTAACTGCATACGAAAGCATAGATCAAAACCTGGAAAATGGTAACGCCAGTAATGTGGACAATCAGTGTGCAGGACGAATGGAGTTGGAATGTCAAACTTCTGGTGCAGATCTGTTAGGCTGTGGAGAAATATATTCCGAGTAACTATTTCTTTTAACAGGAGACACGAGGTATATTTTTATTTCATTTAACTTACCCAGTAAGACTGGCTGCTACTAATGTTGAACCATGGTAACTGTTGGATAGAAGGGTGCAAGGAAAAAAAAATTAATTGAACAGAACAACAAAGGATATGATACAGATTGACAGTTGCCAAGCGATTTGAACTTACGCATGTGAGCGAGAAATGAACTTTTTCTTTTTTGGTCTTCCAAGTGCATTGTTATAATACCAAACCAGCTTGACCTATTACATTGTTTTTTTAGCACAAAATGAATTAATTGGTTGCATTTGTTGCCGAGCTTAAAGGCTTTCACATCTAATTAACCTTGATGTTTTAGTCACTTTAGTTTATCAGTTTTTTCTCTTTATTTCCTCTGCTTATTCCATTGGGAATCAAAATTAGATGGTTTAGTTTGGAGTAGAAAAAACCTGAGTATCATTGGCTTCTGAACCACTGTTCGTAAAAAAGACTTTCCCCATTTTTCTAGCTGTGAACATTTCAAGCAGTTCCTTTGCCAGATCCTGCCATATATGAACCGCAAGAGAGTAAAAGAAATGAAAAGTGAATTTTTATTTTATTTTATTTATATATATAAGAAAGCAGAAGAAGTTTAGGTTAAATAACATACCAATGCAGGCTTGGTAGTACGATTCCAATAGGAGTGGTAAAATGGCAAGGTATTTAGTTGTTTTGTTGCGGCTGCCACAAGTCGTGGTTCATTTCCCCCTACAAATTCCAACATTGCCTTAACTACACTTTAATATATGCAGAACAAAAGTTCGTGTTGATGCAGATTGTGGTACCTAAGGATGTGCACCATAGACCAGCAAGAGAATCAAGGTACTTCCTTCCATTAGTGTCATATACATATGAACCCTGTATCACCATGGAATCCAAATTCAAAGTAGAATGAAAAAACAATATCTTCTGTCTTATTATCCATTCGTTTAACACACAACACATGAAGGTTACCTCTGATCTTTCTATAACTAGTGGATTTTCATTTGTGCACTGCCATCCTGTAGTGAAAGGTGCAAGCATATCATGCCCCTTAAACCTATGATTAAACCATGTTTATGCTCAAACCATGCAGAAGAGTGCAAAGAAGGAATAAATAGTTAAAGTTTAACTCAATGTACCCTGAATCCTCTGTTTGTGCTGACGCCTGTGTACTGTATAAGTTGGACATGATGATATGTTCTTGTGAAGCTCTTCTAGAAGCAGCAAAGGACTATTACCAAGAAGCAGTTTCATATCAAATGACAAACAATCGTAAGGGGCAGCGAGAAAATTAAGAAGAAAATGATGCATTGGGCGTTTGATTTTGATACCTGAGAGTGGAACGAAGAAGGTTATTGACAATGAATATTGTGGGATGAACTCCCTCGAGAATGTGTTCTTAGAGCTTCAAATGGATATGCACACACACAGGACTAGAGAGTTGAAATTTAACCACAAATTTGCAACCGAATCAATATGCTATTCATCCCTCGCCTTTCTCCAATTCTTTAATGTATATGCTATTTATTAAAAAAATTAAAGGTTTGAAATTGGAACACAAACTCAAAAATTCTAACTAATCCCCCTTTCATTCATTTTTTTTTTTCTCACCACTCTCTCTGAACTTATCTTTATTAATTTCTTAATACATGTTTATATTTATTAATTAAAAAGTTCTTAGACTAATCCATGTATTTATTATTTATTGCTGCATTAATTCTTAATTATTCATTAAGAAAAGTTTATTAGTAGTACTTTTTATGAAATCACTCATGGATGACTTTTTTAATTATTATTATTATTTTTTTTTATCAAATCAACTTTTTTTATTTATGGGAATGGAATAATTTTTATTAAATGTAAAGGTTTCTTTATAAAGAAAGAATTTGTATCAAAAACCATTTGTATTTTATTATTATTATTATTATATTTAAAGAAACATGTCAAAATCAAATATTAAATTGAAGTTAAATTTTATTATTAAAATATTAAAGGTTTATCCATTAATGTATTAAAATCTAATTTGGTTATAAGTTCCAATGTGTACATTTAATTACTTAAATTTTGTAAATATATGTCTTTGTTGCATTATTATTATTCCTCAGCAATAATTGATTGTGCTATCGTGAGAATGGAGATTTAAGCCTTCATATCCGTACTAAATATAATTAAACAATATTTCATTAAATTAATAAATTGTAAAATTAATATTTCTAAACATTTACTAATTAAAAAAGTCGAACATTTAATCCAAAATATAAAGAATAAAGAGAGGAAACAAACTTTATTTATTTATTTATTATTATTATTATTTTTTTTTTTTTGCAGATTAAATGTATATATAAAAGCAAAGACATTTAAGATTCCTGTGCTAATTTTAATTGAAACACATTAGAAAAATAAAAAATTAATAAATAAATTTAAAATTATTCTAATGACAGATCTAATCTAAAAGTAATTCTATAAGTAATAAGTATTTGATTAAAATATTATTTTGATATCTTTACTTTGTTTAATTACTCTCAATATTTTCAATAAATTTTTAATTCATTCCATCAAAGTTAAATTTTATTGAAATTAGTTAACAGTAATAATAAATTTCATGCAAAATAGTGAAAATGCTAATATATAATAATAAGTTTTAAAAAAAATCAACAATAAATTAAAAGTAAGAATTAAAATTAAACCTTTAAATGTAAAGTTGAATTAAGGTTCAAGTATTTTAACCTAAATGTTTTTGTTTCTTATCACACATTTTGAAGATTTTCTGTTAATTAATCACTGATTTTTTTTTCTATAATTCATCTCTCGAAAAAAAAAAAGAATTAATTACTTTTATTAACTAATGGAATATCAATTATGATCATCTAAATTCACTCAATAAGCTATATTAAATAATTTAAAATCTTATTTAGAAAGACACTTGAAACTATCAACCTTTTGAAAGGTGTTTATATAAAAATCAATTTCATTTAAAATTTAGCACTAAAAACAAAAGCAGTAAATTGTAAATTTCAAAGAAGAATATGAATCAAGTAACTTTTGGATGACACTTTACCCTCCTAAAGATAAGGACAGTTCTTGTGGGACACCCAACTTTTGGACCATGTGGTTTCCTCCCAAGTTCCAACACTAACTCAATGTCTATATTCTTAATGGGAAATTAGTACACATCCGATAATATCTGTCTCATTCTATAATCATCATTCTATAATCAAAAGAGTACGATTATCATTTATTAAAAAGAAAAGTAAAAAGACTGTAGATAGAAATAAAGATAAATTACCTTGTGACATAACTGGAGAAGGTAGGAAGATTTGAACTTACCATAGAAGAAGAACGTGATAATTACCGTTTAAATACACTCGCTTTGTGTAAAGGTCTAAACCCATTGCTAGTAGATATTGTCCTTTATGAATTTTTCTTTACTAGCTTCCCCTCAAGGTTTTTAAAATGCATTTGTTAGAAAAAGGTTTCTACCCCCTTATAAAGGGTGTTTTGTTCTCCTCCCCAACCAATGTGGGATATCACAATCCACCCCCCTTCAAGGCCCAACGTCCTCGCTGGCACTCGTTCCTTTCTCCAATCGATGAGGACCACCACCAAATCCACCCCCCTTTGGGTCCCAACGTCCTTACTGGCACACCGCCTCATGTCTATCCCCTTCGGGGAACAACCTCCTCGCCTGGCACATTGCTTGGTGGCTAGATCTGATACCATTTGTAACAGCCCAAGCCCACCGCGAGCAGATATTGTCCTCTTTAAGTTTTTCCCGTCCGGCTTCCCCTCAAGGTTTTTAAACGCGCCTACTAGGGAAAGGTTTCCACACCTAAGAGTGTCTTGTTCTCCTCCCCAACCAATGTGGGATATCACACTTTGACAATTCTTATCCACCATCTTTCAACTCCGCCATTCATAATAAATGAGCACGCCTAGTTAGGAATTAGCATGGGGTAATATTGGTAAATGATTTGAACCTTTTTGTACAAAAGGCCAACTATGTGCTACCCTTTTCAAAAGCTTTTACAATTTTAAAAAACCTCTACACACATGCGAAAAGAATACTTTCTTACCAAAAATCCTCAGCTCCTTCCAGAATTCATCGACTCAAACTCTGCTAGACTTGATTTTGGCCACATAACCTGTAAGATTGAGGAGAAAAAGTGCTTCCAGAAGGAAGATTATCAGTATTTTAATCCAGGGCGAGAAACTGGAAAATGATGGTATCAATTAATGATTAGAAAAAAATACTGGGGAAGTGAACTGGATAATAATTCCATGGATTGCCTCAATGAAGTTCAGAGGCTAAGAATTAAAAACTAGGAATATCCTTTTGTCTACAATTTTGAGATGGAGAAAAGGAGCGATTCCCACCTCAATTACAGATTACACCTAAATCCGTGTTAATCAAAATGCATTCTTGAGGAAACTGCCTCACATGTACCGATCAATTGAGTTTGCAAACAATGTCAGGTTGCAAGATTTCGGAGCCAAGAATTGATTCCGTCCTTTTGGCTTCTTTTTCCAACTTGCTGATGGGAGAATGTTTTCTAATTACACCTCCTTTCAGGCAGCCAAATCATATGCTTCAGGATTGACCAACCAAACTACCTACCTTAAACGAGAACCGGATGGTCGGCTTTGCTCATAACCACCAGGGAGAAAAACAGGGAGTTGGTTTGAAGCCGAGTCCCTTTTGAATCTGGACTCGCGAGATAGAGTCATCGTCATTCTGTCTTGGCTCTCTCTCGAAGTCGAGACCCTTTCGTTTCTCAGACTATCTCGAGAAGAGATGTTCAGTAGAGGACCACCGAAGAAAATGGAATCTCCGGTGTACATTAACTTCTCGGATTGCTGCAATGGAGCTTTTGTGTTGGAAGATGATGTAGGTTGCAATGGATTAACTGGCTTTCTAGTGTTGTTGCTTGTTTCGCCGTTTAAATTTGGCAAACCTATCTGCACAGATGATCTAAGAGGACGGGTTTCTGAAGCTGATACAGGAACTGAGACATACCTCCCAGCTTCTTGGTCCCAGACAACAGATGTCTTTCTGACATCTCTGAGAAGAGAAGTAGGGGCTGAAAGCAATAATGGATCAGTAGTGTTTCCCCTCTGAGCAACCTTATCGTCAAACCCAGAAGTATGAGATCTTGGGTCGGTGACAACAGGGTAGGATGCCTTGGAAGAATATGGACGTTCAGGAAATAGGCTGGGAATTGATGAAGCAGCACTAAAACGACCTAGACCCAGACCATTACCATGTGGGAGAGGACTGAGGGTGACTGTTTCATGCACATGGCTTGGACTACTGAAGCTACTCATGCTCTGTGTTCCAGTTTCATAATCATCCTGACTAGCTTGACTCGGAGCCAAGGAATTTCTTATGGGAGAGAGCCTAAGATCACTTTTAATCTCTTTGTTTGCACCAGTGTCAGTGCTCACACTACTTCTAACACTTAGGTTTCCGCTGGAGCTCAATTCTGTATCTGGGAAACGGCGGTTATCAAGAGGCCTCAGAACAGATGATGATGCTCTAGCTTTGGCAGCTGCCTTCATGGCCTCGTTAGAATCAAGCTTTGCAAGCTTCCAAGCACTAAGACGAACGGCTCTTTTGGGTGCTTTTGGCCCTCTTTCTGAAGCTCCTGCTGCATCTGGGTCAACAGTAGATGGGACCATTCCTGGCTCCAAGTGAGGCACCACTTCATCCTAATGCGTTTAAGTGGGATTAGTTAGTAGTAAGAAACTGTTGTTTTATGATAATAAGAAGCTTGTGAATTGGATAACGCATGCATAATTTCTCCACAAAAGATGACAGAAACAAATTAAAACTTATCGGCACAACATAAATAATGAAAGAGCTTAAACTAAAATTAGTTGGCGTTCAAGACCCAAATAGACAATTTATTTTCAAGTGGGTTCTTTTTCAATTTAAGATAATCTTTTTAAAATATTAGCTATTTGGAGTGTAGATAAATGATTTCTATTTATACACTAATGGTAAAAACAATTTATACCTTTTTCTAAAAGTTTAAGAGTATTATACTCCTTTCCAAAGTTCGTAAGTATCTTTGAAACGTGGTACTAATGGTTCCATCCATATGCTAACAGAACTTTAAAAAAAGTTTAAGAGTATTTTTCAAGTTCTATAAATGTTAAAAGAGTATTAATGAAAATTTAAAAGTTCATTGGTAATTTTTGAAACAATGTAATTATGGTTTCCATCCAAAACTAATGAGGCACTTTGAAGTTTATGTGGGATATTTTTTTATTAATTTAACCAAATATTTATTCTTCTATTTTTTCAATTTAAAACCTCTTTGCATTAAATTACATTTACTAACTCATTATGCTTTAATTTACCAAAGTGAAGCTTCAATTTCTCCCTTTTTGAATCTTGACATAATCAAACAGGAAGAAATGAAAAATGACTATCAACCTATGACTGGCTTGAGAAATAAATAAATGGGATTT